CAGAAACATTTTCATATGTGTGTCAACACTGCCCTCTTGTGTTGTGTGCTCTCTTTGCCTTTAATGCTCCTAAACTCTGCAAATTAGACCAACATGTAGCAAAACGTCAGGCCAAAGGGGAACTTGTCGGTCCATTTTAGAGGTAAATTGGGTCACAGCAACAAGGCACAATGAGATGGGTGTTATACTGGCATGACATGGTAATGCTTCTTAAAGAGCAAGTCACCCCCTACCAGAGTCTAACTCCACTCCCACTTCATGTTTGAAAAATGCAACAAATGCTGTTGCCTAGCAGACCGAGAGGGCGGAGCTGCTAACAAATACACACACACAGGCTCACGAGAGCATTGTGACCTCATAACGTACCAGATTACATCATAGCATACCTCTTAGCCAATAGTGGTGGCAGATTTAAATTAAAATACAGTGCAGAGTTTTTACCTGACAATGGCACAACACTGCCAGTTTGAGGCAGAGTATTTAAATTTTAACTAAGATGTACTGAAGTGCAGAATTATTGACGACACGTGTCTGCAGCACGATTAGACACTCGTTTATTTAGTTTATCAGCAAAAAAAAATTTATTTGGGGGTGACTTGCTCTTTAATGTGCTTGTTCAACAATGAAAAGAAAGCATGTAACGCATGCACATAAAAGCAATATTTATTATTGCCACAGCTAACGACGTCATTCCTGTGCATACATTTTCAAATTGAAGCGCAGCTGATGGTTAAGTGACAGTGTGTATTTTCCCTGGCGATAGGGGGCAATACATACCAAACTCATTTCAAGCAAGCAGTATTTTTGTGTTCCAGTATGACCTTATCAGTGGACGGCCATCAGGGTCAAAAGTCTCTGGGAGTGCAACCTCCAGCAAAATGACAAGCACATCAGACTCCCTTTCATCACTGGCAACAAGTGAAGAGGTAAATGTGTAAAATGTGTTTGTAACCGTGTCAATGGTGAATGTTTTTTAACCGTTTGTTACAAATCAGTAAATGCATTTTGTCCTCACGGGTTCCTGTAGAAGGAAACATGGCATCTTTTGTAGCCTCGCCCAAAGACGTAGGCCCAATCCCAATACTGGCACCGCGCCTTGCGTTCTTCAGCAAAGTGCACTTGGAGAAAAGTGCGAGGTTCACAAGTGTGCAGATAATAGCCGAATTGAGAGACGGAGAATTGTGTAATCAGCTACAATGCATGCTGGTATGCTGGTCGCTGTGATGCCTAAAAAATAAAACTTTATTGACAACTTTCCAAAAAACAATCAAACTATCATTTGAAATAAATGTACATTCATTGCTTCTTAGTCTAAATGTTTCAAAGCGTCAATTACTCGTTATAAAATGAACTACTTTCATTGGAAAATACATATTTTCAGAAAAAGCACTTGATCATTTTCTCTCTCAACAATGAGTTGTGGGTAATACCCTACCGCAGCTCAAGGGTGCAGAAGGGGCGTGATAACTCCTGCACTTGAGAATCAGGACACCCAACACACTCGCACCCCTGGTCAGTAGTCTCACAATTGAAGGGCGCAACTGTGGAAGTGCGAGTTTTGAGGTTGGACCTGAGACCCGTTCCCATGTATTTTGGACCGTACTTTTATGGTTATATGTTACGAAGCCGCTAACATTTTTCAACAACTGGGCATCGTTTCATTCCTTTTCAACAATGTAAAAGAAGTTAATTTACTTCTAATTAAGGACCCGTGAGACGTAAGATTCCATAGTGAATATGAAATCAATCTTACGGACCGTTGGGTTATTTAACCAGAAGATTGGAACTTTTTATTGCAGGGATTATGTAACACTTTGTATTAACTGAGAGACAAGAGAAGAGACAGAGTCCTTTAAAACGTTTAAGATGATTTATTTCTGAACAGTTTAAACAATTTTAAATAAGACTAACTCTACTCTAACTGATGGATGGATCTGGTGTAATGAGACGTGAGATGGATGGTGTATGTGTGAGTGATGTTGTAATCAGAACTCTCGTATCCGGAGAAGCAAGTCTGAATGATGTTGTGATGTTTTGCTTCTAGTTGTGATCAGAGTTTGATCGGAGTTTCATAAACACATGCAACGCCATATTGTCGCTCAACACATACCCTTCAGATGAGACCTCCGTACAGATCCAGAATGCCAGGCCCTTGGACCCCCCTTTCGGTACCGGAGCCGGTGAAACAGCGTCGGCAGTGCGACAAACTAGTCTTTGGATTGTCTCCAGGTAAAAAAGCGACAGGTGGTTGACAGCGTCAGGTGGACCCCCTTTGGGTCAGTGAGTTCAGCTTTTATTCTGAAAGGAACCATTGCTTGGTTGGTAAAGTGCAACAGATTTTATCCAGCTTGTTGGTTCTTTGCTTAAAAAGGAAGTCCGGGTGGCCGGTCCGATACTTCTCTTAGCATGCGGTAAACTGAACTAAGATGGCGCTGGGACTGGTTTTATTAATCTGGATGTCTTGATTTCTGGTCGAATCAAAGTTGGCAGATTTATAAACACCACAGAGACTATGCCACGCTTCAGAAAGGAAGGTTCTGATTGGATCAGTAACAGCAATGTGTCATGCGTTTACATTACGTGTAGTCAGCATGTCTAGTGCAGCTAGATTAAAGTCATATTACTTATTAAAGCATATTAATCCTAACATTGTTATTTCACAGATTGGTCAACATTATATTATTCACTAACACTTTGTTTTGATTAGCTTTATTAAAAATAGAGTTTTTTGATTTATTAAAAGGAAAGAGTCCTTTATCTTCATTCTTCTCTTGAGCTGCAAAGGAAGCAGTTTTAGAAGCGAATACATGACCTTGAGGCGGCCTCATGCAGACTAGTTCTGTGTCAGAGGCATCCGTGGAGAGAGGTTAATTAACCTTCGGAGGAATAGCTCCTTCATCACGTTACAACAACATTTTGATGAGTATTTCCAGAGATTAACAGTAAAAACTACACACTGTCTCAGTAAAATGAACTATTTCTTAATAATCTGAGCTATTTTGTGTTCTTTGCACTCTCTTTTTGAGACATCATGTCTAATATTTACAACAAAACATGGTTAGGACTTCTTTTAACATTTACCTCACTAACACCTTGAGATTAGAGTAAACATTGTTCACTGAGCCTATAAAAAGGATGGTTTCAGTCAATAATTTTAATACATTTTGATACTTAAAGTGTGTTGTTGATTTAGGACATAATAAAGAGGTTCAATCTTTATTGCTCTAAGTTTATAGGACAAAAAAAAACAGATATTCTTTTGTTTTCTTTTTGGAGATCTGCACTGAAGAAAATGTTGCGAGCAAAAACATTGAAACTCCGTCCAAAAATACAATACTGACTAATATATCGGTCCAGTGCTGTTTCTGTGGAAGATTTCTCTTCTGAATTCTCTGTGGATGTTTTACAATGCAGAGAAATACTGGAGGAACATTTCTATGTTCATCTGTGTGGGCATGTGCAAATATTATGTCTGTTTCCACCCACCTAGTAAAACATACATTACATTTAACTAGCACACATGTATTAAAATGCATAAATTTGATATTTAGCTCAGTAGTGCTGTGAAAAACTGCAGTGACCTACTTTCTGACTGGGAAGTCCACAGTTTCTTCATCACTATAAGTCGCCTGTCTTTGCTGTTGTCACTAACATGTCATTTCATTTAATTCAACAATATGTAGACTGAGTTTGAAGCCTCCAAATCCTCAGTTGCTTTCTTATTCGGTCACATTTTCGTCATTCTATTGGATTACCACTAAATGTTAATTTGACGTTGGAAATTTGATCAGAAAAAGCCCTAACATTGAGGTCAGTTGTTATTTTACTACATCTGAATAGTTGTACTTTGGCCATATTCCAATAAATGTTCACAAGCATGTACATTAGTCTCTATAATTGTATTCTTAATAAACATTTACACGATTAAAATCAGTTAACAAAAATGTGTTCACAGATCTAGTTTGTGTCTTATGAAATGGTCAGATGGAGTTCATTAGCAGCATATTGTGCAACAGTGACATCTTGTGGTGATACTTAATAAATGCAGGAACACCAAATACCCATCTTCACATTTGGTCCCAGACAAAATAAAAGCAAAAATACATCAACGTTTAGGTCCATCAACACCATGATTTACCTTCCCTTGCTAAAATCTAAAATTCTGCCTGACTATGCTGTTCTGTTTATTAAACATGCAGTAAACATAAGCGCCACACTTTCAAGTACCAACAAGGAGATTGTTCCAATTGTTTTTACAATCTTTAACTCCGCATTTGTAAATTTAGTCATAATTAAATTCCTTCTTTGAACAAAATTTCTAATTGCCTTTCTGGCATTGAGATTAAAACTTTAATTAACATTAATGTCCTTAAGGTGGTGGTTCGTGGCTGTTGTTTTTATAAAGAGTTACTTTAGAAGCTGAACAAATTAGATCATGGTGTGTAATGGATGAAATCTGTGCTCGTTTTGCATAAATAATGTTTCAAACTTGCAAAGAAAGTCATCATATTTCACAGTTTCAACTTAGAGTTCAACATCTCATGTGTGAAGCTCTTCTAAGCTCCTGCAGCCCAGTTACTGTGTCTTTTCTTCTTGCAAGTCTTCAAATAACTCAACTTCTCTACCACACCCCTCTCTGAAGCTGGGAATTTAGCTGTTTTAGAAAACAGTACTTCCCGTTTTGTTTTCCTTTAAGTCACCCATTTCCGTGCTTCTACGGTGAAACTTAAAAACAGCCTTTAATATCCTCACCCTTAATTTTCTAAATCATACTTTATTTAAAATATTTTAATACATTTTCTGCATTGATAAACTACAAAACACTGCAAAATTTAAAAATAATATTTAATGAAATAATAGTATTTTGGACCAGTAAGTAATTTTTGCACCGGTAAGGTCCCATATTATAAAGTATGTTGAGTTCTAGAACAATAAACCAGTTAAAACGTATTTTTGTTTTGGTTTTTAGTCCAGCGCGTTAAAGCTCGGCAGTCGTAACGAAACTACAAGAACCACAATGCATTGCGCCGTTGCCATCCTTATCATGACATCTTCAACATAAGGAAAACCTTCCTCTGAAGGAGCCTTTTATTAGTTAACCTTGGCGAGGAGGTGACTCGTTCTTAGCAGTTTGACAAGTAAATATTTACTGGTTTTGGCAAACGGAAATCATCCACCAGTAAAAGCTGTCAGAAGTCACCGAAAGCTCGCGTTGAGACCAAGAAGCTCGCTAAAAGAGAAGCTAGCTCCAGCTAACGCAGCTAACCGAGAATACTAAAACTGTATCGTTTGGGTGTTTTATTGTTCATCGAAGACAACAGCTGGTAGGGATAGCTGCTGACGGATATGACACGGAGCAACTACGCAACGTAGGTAGGTCATTTGACTGGCGGTGTCGATGTGTCTACACACACCAGAGGACGATAGCCGAACTTGGCAGCTAAGTTAGCATCATAAACTCCTAAAGGCACACTCAAGGTGGTATTAAATTACTGCTTCAAACCAGTAAGATATTTTATCTTCTTTCATCTTCTAGTTTTGTAACCGATTGATAGCTAATCTGTGGCGTCAGTCTTGGTAAGCTAGCTTGTGAAACGTTACGTGAGTTGCCACAACACAGGAAATTTAAGTTTACCATTCTTTCATTATCTGTAACAGTAGTTATAAAAACGAAACAAGGCCTTCGCTGGACTCTTCTAGGGTACGTGGTTATTTAGTAACGACGAAATCGACTTTTACAACTGATCCCAGTTTTTGCTTGGACTCAAAGTGCGTCGTTTGGTGTTAAACATGTGATGCGGATTTGCATTGTTGTTGTTTTTGCTCGAGTGGTGGTTTCTTTGAAATAGTGAGAAATGTGATTGAGTGATAAACGATGTTGCTGTCACTTTATAACGTGGTCTAACCGGGTTGGATGTAATGTAGTAAGGTGTATTCTGGACAGGTGAGGCCTGTCTGCCTCTCCCTTGTTTTGTTTTGGTTCTCTTTTGTCCCAAAACCACTTTTTGCATTTAACTGTTTCAGGGTGGAACATCTCCGATTTTTTTTAGATAAGAAAACTGGTTTCTGGTCCTGAAACCTTATATCTTCTGCAGAAGAACAGTTTCTGAAAGAAAAAAAATAAAGTTTTTAAATAGGAGCAAAATCATGACTCATGTGGTCTATCATCTTTGATATTTTATTACATGTCAAGGTTTCAGCTGGAAATTAAGCATTTCAAATCTTTAACGGATTCATCTAAAAGTAGGAAAAAACCTCTTTGTGACATAGTTCTGTAACAGAATCCCCCAAAAGTCCATTTAAATGATTATTTTGCTCGTTTTATTTTGTATAATAACAGATTAATCAGTTCAGTTTTCTTTATTTATGACTGAATACTTCATTGGACAAAGTTAAGTGACTTTAACTAAAAAAAAACTTGTTCAGATATTGACTGAAAATGAGTGAAAAGGCAGCAAACACTCAATAGAAATAACTTATTAAGCAAGATCACAATAACAGAGACTTTTGCACAGCAGATATGCATTGAAGCGGTTTGTGATGACCGCTAACAATCCTTGCTTGCTGAGATACCGTTTCATGTTCATATCATCAACATCACTTTGTAAAGGGTACTTAACAAAGTCCTACTAAAGCCTCAATTCATATTTTCCTCCTGCATATTCTGGAGGTTACTCGCCTTCATGCATTTACTGACCTGCTTGTCTGTAATCAAGCTGTGTGCATGCATTTTTGAAAAGAGACACCATTTAATTATAACCTCTAAAACAGCTGACAGTTTGTAATGAGAACCCATTCAAGAGAATCGATGGCTTTGATGCTATTAAGAATTGTTCAGTGATGTTGGCTAAAAATAATCCAATACTTATTTTTAGTGATTTTATTTTTTTATTTCATACAAGCGTATATTGATATGAGTAAAATGTTTCCATGCAGATTGTGACAAGTGTGAACCCACTTCTCTTATGCACACATATTAGGATATACTTGTTTATGCAAATGAGGATGGGGTGTGATCATATTTTTTTATCTATATGTGACTGTAATCTCGATTCTTGCAACTAATTCTGCATTTCCATCTTTTCCCAAAAGCAGATCTGCAGAGATGTTGACGTGAACTTACGCGCTCCAAACAATGAATTCATCCCTCCAACGGTGTACCGTGACTCTCCCCTGGAACGGGAGCGATTTCTGAAAAAAAAAGGAAAGTGGTGGAAGAAACGCGCTTCGACTATCGACAGGAGTCATGAATCTCCATCAAGTCCTCACAGGGGCTGTCAACCCTGGGGACAACTGTTTCTCTGTCGGGAATGTCAACGACGTGCCTTTCACGGTAAGACAAGTGGAAGTCTGGAAATATTTCCCCCTGGGCAATCTAGCTCCCCTGATTCTTCAGGGGTGGCCACCTGGATGGATTTTTATTACCTGTATTAATTGCGGACAGTAAAAAAATATATGTTCTTTACTGTCTAAACCAGGGGTGTCAAACTCATTTTAGCTTAGGGGCCACATTGAGGGAAATCTAGTCCCAAGTGGGCCGGACCGGTAAATTAAAAAAATACTTCAGATTGTTTTCTTTGTTTTAATACAGTCACTATAAAACAAGGCTGGAGGCTGAGGACAGTGTAGAACAAGTACAACACCTGAAGTGTACTTGAAAATTTGAAAAAAATTAAAAAATCAACAAATAAAAACATTCCTTAGTGATTCAAAGAGCTTACAGATCACATGGCAAGATCAGTTTCATGCAGCACTTAAAGTATATTTGACTCATTTTACTTTACATCTTTTAGCTTTCACCAGCACATCAATATCAGGAGTCACATCCTGAGTGGCGGCCAACTTCAGGATGTGATTCAAGTTCTTGTGTGAGCCTTGAGCGCAGCTTTGTTTTATTTATACTCATTACAGAGAAAACTTGCTCACAAAGATAAGTTTATTTTAACTCTACATTGTAAAGTATGAAAATAAAGTTTACACAACCATCTCGCGGGCCGGATTTAACCCGCTTGCGGGCCGGATTCGGCCCGCGGGCCGCATATTTGACACCCCTGGTCTAAACTGTCAGAGGATCATAGTGTTGGTTGGTAAGATCTCTGGAAAACTCTGAGAAATGCTTACTCCTCATGCCCGTTTTACTCTTGAACGCAGCCCGGTCACGTTGAATCACAGCTCATGTGAGAATCTCCTTTTGAGAATCACAGAAATAGAGCAGATACATCTGATCTGTCATCTGCTTGCATGTCTGAATTGCTGAAACTAGGTTCAGGACAAGTGTAGGTTTAGTGACCCTTAATGCAGTTCTCTCTGGGTGTGTCTGAGGGTTTCTGTCCTCTCTCATCCTATCCTTGAGGCAGCAGTAGCTCAGGTGGTAGAGCGGGTTGCCTCATGATCGGAGGGTCATGGGTTTGATTCCAGCTCCCGCCAGGGGTATCCTGCTGTTGTGTCCTTGGGCAAGACACTTCACCCAACTTGCCTGTGTTAGTGGTGGTCAGAGGGGCCGACGGCGCCAAATGGCAGCCTCGCCTCTGTCAGACCTCCCCAGGGCGGCTGTGGCTACAAGTAGCTTACCATCACTAGCAGTGTGTGAATGTGAGAGTGTGTGAAAGCGTCTTTGGGTGTCTAGAAAAGCGCTCTATAAGTTCAATGCATTATTATTATCCTGCTGCCTCTGCGTTTCTGTGATAGGCCTACGCTTCAGGCTGTGATGTGGTGATTTTGGGCAGTAACTTTGAACGGTTGCAGATCATCCCAGGGGCCAAGCATGGTAACATCCAGGTGGGTTGTGTCAGCTGCTCACCACATGGTGGACAGGTAAGGGGTTCTCAGAGATGGATGTTGATTTTGTTTTGTTTTGTGTTGCACCAAAAAAAGCACATTTTCTGTTTGTTCGATATTTCTTTGTTAAAAAAATCCTAAAATTTACAAAAACCGTTTCAGCTGTGTCCAAAAAAATGTGTGTTTTTACATAAAAACCTGTTTGCAGGACAGGTGTGTGCTGAGTGCAAATATTGCAGGATTCCTATTACTGTAGCATTATTTATTGCAAGGAAGTAAATGTATTTGTATTACTTTTTAAAATACGATTGGCCACTGAGTTTAACATGCAGGCTGAACATGAAAACAGTCTTCTACCTAGAGATCGGTACCGAATTCAGTACTTTTTAAGGTACCGACCGAATTCCATAGTACCGACTGAGCACCGATTCACGTCATTTGAAACGGTGCCTCGTTTCGGTACCCGTCCTTCATAACGAGAACTTGCCTAGACAGCTGCGCATGCGCAAGAGCGTTATGTCGTCGGTCGTTGCGAGCGAGTTGTAAACAGAGCAGCATGGTAGAAAGAACACACGCTAAAGCTTGGGTCCACTTCACTAAATGTGATGGGTAACTGGGTGATGATGAAACCAGCGACAACGATCTAAGTGAGGCATCCTCATCTTAATCTGCTCCGGTAGTTAAATAAACTGTTTAAGATAACGTTAGCTTGATATGTTAGCTTCCGTTTCGCTAATGGTGCGTTCGCTTTCTCCTCGGAACTCCGAATTTCTGACTAGAAGAACATGAACGCGCTCTAAAGTTTGGCTTCATTTTACTAAATGTAACGGGTGATTGGGACCGGTGGCGCCTGTGCTCGGCAGCCTCGCCTCTGTCAGTGCGCCCCAGGGCAGCTGTGGCTACATCGTAGCTCATCCCCACCAGTGTATGAATGGGTGAATGACTGAGTGTGTTGTAAAGCGCCTTGGGGGGTTCCAGGACTCTAGAAGGCGCTATATCAAATACAGACCATTTACCATTCCACACCCACCTCCTTAATAAAAAGTTCACTTTCATTATTACTGCATTCACAAAATTTCACACTCCCTGTTCGTTATGGACGAGAAATCCAGGATTACAACATTTACTGAGCATAATGAAGATCACAAAAGCAGATTTCCTGTTTTAGTAATGGTGTGCAGCTGTTTAAGCAGCAGACAGGCCTGCTGTGGTTTAAATGAAGGAAAAGTGCCCAGCCGCCCCTAAACGGCTCCCTCGTGATGTTTAATCCTATTCTCTTGGGTCAGAAGTTCCTCACAAGCCTCCAGCGTGGACCAGCATCTACTTAGGAATGCTCAGTCGGCACGCTGTGCACCTCCACGCTGCTGCTCTCTGCTCTCTGTGAAATCACTTCATGTCCCGGGGGGTTTGCTCTTTAGGGTTGTGTTTTTGTAAATACCGATAACCTCTTGCTTTAAAATCAGTTTTCTAAATTCATTTTTTGTATAATAAATGACTAAAGCGGTCAATTTATTAAAGTAAAAATCAAATCAAAAGAATTATTCAATCACAGAGAAGGAAATAAAAATTTTATTAATAATTTTATGCTTTCTGATACACTGAAAAAACAGAAAAAGTCCATTTTTGAAGCTTAACTTGCATGTAAAATGTTGTTAAGTGTTCAAATTCAAATAGTCGACCCTAATCAAAGAACAACGTTTTCTTTGAGCAGATGTTTGTCTGGTAGGATTTCTGTGTGATTGTGCTTGAACACATGAACCTTTGTGTATTTATCGTACACGCGTGACGTCTGCATGTGATTCGCTCTTTCAGTGTTCAGCTAATTAATGACCTCGTTTAAAGCATGGTTGGTATTTTTTTACCGTAGGTATTTTTGTGGAGTCTCTGTGCATGCATTATTGTTAAAGGGTGTAAATGTGTTTGGTTTTTACAAATGTCATTATTTGGCTAAATTAGCATTTTATCACCTTTAATTTTTATTTTACGAAAGGATTACGATGACTTACTTCACTGACATAGGATTTGGGTTTTCCTATTTTAGAAACGTCCTGATGCGTCTGATTTTTGTCTTCGTTATGACAGATTGCAGCTTCCTATGGAAGCATCGTCTGTGTGTTTGAGCCTGTTCAGCTCTCAGATCTAAAGGAAACATCCGTGTCGGTAAGTAGCTTCATGTTTTCTTACGTTTAACGGTCTACTGGTGTTTGCACTGAGATTATCCACATTACTCCTATAAAAATGTCAAGAGAGCTACAGTTAAAGTTAAAGTCATCAGTTATTGCAGTAATGTTTAATGGTTCTTTATGGTGAAGTCTGTTGTTAGACTAAGCAGCCTTGAAAACTTTTAAAACTTCAACTTTCCTGACCACAGTCGGTCAACTTGTGGTGTAATCACATGTGACTCGCATGAAAGCAGCTGTTGTGCAATCTTAATATAGGATAGAAAATTCCTTTATTGTCCCTCAGTGGAGAAATGTTGGTGTAACAGCAGCAAAGCAGCTGAGAAAACCAAAGTATTGATGCGGCAGGTTCCGTTTATCTTTTATTTTAATAAATACATTTCTGAGGTCCTACCTCAAGTGGAGGAGTTTAAGTATCTCGGGGTCTTGTTCACGAGTGAGGGTAGGAGGGATCGGGAGATCGACAGGCGGATTGGTTCGGCGTCTGCAGTGATGCGGACGCTGAGCCAATCTGTTGTGGTGAAGAGGGAGCTGAGCCAGAAAGCCAGGCTCTCGATTTACCGGTCGATCTACGTCCCAATCCTCACCTATGGTCATGAGCTTTGGGTAACGACCGAAAGAACGAGGTCGCGGATACAAGCGGCCGAAATGAGTTTCCTCCGTAGGGTGGCCGGGCTCAGCCTTAGAGATAGGGTGAGGAGCTCAGACATTCGGGAGGGACTCGGAGTAGAACCGCTGCTCCTCCAGATCGAAAGGAGTCAGTTGAGGTGGTTTGGGCATCTGGTCAGGATGCCTCCTGGACGCCTCCCTGGGGAGGTGTTTCGGGCATGTCCTGCCAGCAGGAGGCCCCCGGGTCGACCCAGGACACGTTGGAGAGGTTACATCTCCAATCTGGTCCGGGAACGCCTTGGGGTCCTGCCGGAGGAGCTGGTGGAGGTGGCCGGGGAAAGGATGGTCTGGAGCTCCCTAGTTGGGATGCTGCCCCCGCGACCCGGACCCGGATAAGCGGAGGAAGACGACGACGACAACCTCATTTCTGTGTTACTTGAGAATGTTTTGGTAGAGAATTTACTGCTAGTAAAGTTTGATTTTAAATGCCATTAAAGTGATAGTGTGTATTTTCCCTGCCAATAGGGGGCAGTAGATGCCTAAATTGTTGCAAGCAAGCAGTATTTTTGTGTTGGAGTAAGACCTTACCAAGGGATGCCTATTAGGGTCAAAAAGCTCTGGGAAGTGCAAACTTTAGCAAAATAACAAGCACATCAGACTCCCTTTCATCACTGGCAACAAGTGAAGAGATAAATGTGTAAAACAACAACAACATTTAACAATGATGAAAGTTTTGCAACTTTGTTACAAATCAGTAAATGCATTTTGTCCTCACGGACTCCCGTAGAAGGAAACATGGCATCTAATATGGCGTCATTGGCAGTGAATGAGTTAATTTAAGAGGTCCACCGATATTGTTTTTTCTATTGCAGTTACCGATGCCGATATGTAGAAGACATGTTCCGTATCTGGATGTTTTCCACCTTATTTTCATGCTAAAATTTCACTAATAACATCAGTTGATGCACAAAATTTCTGAAACCGAATCAGCTTTTGAACTCTGAATTTAAATGTTAAATATTAACTTTGTGCACTGACCAGTGTTTAAGTCAGACACTTAAATAAAGTTCATTTGGAGTATTTGTTATGCAGATGTTCTTAGGGAATGTAAAAATACATTTAAATAAAATATTGCAACTGCACTGGGCTGCCCGGAGATGTGCCTGACTTTAGATCGGCGTTTCTAAGGACAAATATTGGTTGATTATCTACATCGCTTTTCTTCCGGCTCTTGGAGGGTGCAGACGCTTTTTTCCTCCTCTCCTCCATATCTTATCCTCAAGGCCCTTTGTCTGTCTCTATGTGCTGGGTGCACGGCTGCTTCTGCATTTTTCTGGAAACTGAAATTCACTAAAATGGATCACGTCAGTTGGTCTCTCAACGCGATTGATAAAATGTTTTCAACAATGAGAACGGGAGAAGGGGCTCCCGGATGCCCCTCCGGGACAGACCCAGTTGGACACGCCATGGACTCCTGGAAACAGTGGAACTTGATTTGTTTATCTCAGCTGTCTGTAGAGGACTCTGAAGACGTGTGGATATTTGTGGTGTTGGTGTCGGGTTTCCTGCTCATTGGCCTTGGAGACTACCTGGCTTACCGGAAAATTTACGAGCTGTCGAGGAACATTGGCCTGCTCCCGGAGCTCAGAGATGGATTGCACCACGCTGTGAATTCACAGACTCACGTAATTGCTGAGATGAATCGTAAGCTTGGGACTTTGGCGGAGATATATTCTTTGGCACAAAAGATGGATGCCATCAAGGATAGAGTGGACGAATCAGCACAGATTGGGATAGATTAATGTCCATTATTGGGATTTTGAGAGGTTGAGGACCATTATCTCAGTCTGGCCCCAAAATAATTTCTAATCGGAATCTGGCGTCCTTGAGCCTGCAAGGCTCCAACGAAAACTCCCCCCTCAGAAGATATGTGGAATGTGCCGTCGCTATGGCAACTCAACTCTGTCTGCTTTCCCAGCCTGGGCGGGACAGCGGGAAGGCCGCTGAAATGTTCCAGGGTCACTGCAACCCTCCAACCCTCAATGCTCCTCCCCCTATCCACACTGAGGTGACATGCGCTGCTTATCATGGCTGCAGGAACTGAAGTGGGGATAGTCCCAACCCACCACCCCACCTAGTGGACACTTATGTTGTGTTGTCTGAAGTCTGTTGCATATCTGAGGTGTTTTTTTTTGCAGAGCAAAGCTGCCCTCCTGGTGGAGGGTAACTCTGAAGTGCCTTTTTTTCCCTCCACCTGAATCAATCCTCATGTAACCCTCTTTTCTCCATTAAGGTAGCGCAACTCAGGGTTGCGACTGACCACAGTCACCAATTCTTGTCATGTGTCTTGCCCATGTATGTCTGATCTCTGAATTGTGTGTACTGAAACTCTAATTTCCCTCTGGGATTAATCAAGTATCTTTGATTGATTGATTATCAACATACTATGTGTTGTGTTGGCTTTTCATTTATGATTTTCTGGTGTTGATCCCCCGTAACTGGCAACAGCTGTGAAATCATGAAACGACAGCGAGAAAGGGACTTTTATCACTTAGGAGAGTGAACTGCAGTTACCTAATTCGACCACAGGATGTCATTCTTACAAATTGCACCTTTAAAGTGATTTGATTTATTGAGTCACTTTTACATTACATTTCTTACAGAAATTGAAATGCCAATGGCAGAAGACTGGTCAGTTTGTTTTGGAGTCCATGGTACAAAACCTGGCCTGGCACCCCACAGGTACCTCCGTCTTCGCTCAAACGTGTTACAGATTTAGGTTTGAAATGTTTCACAAGACAGATTCATGTGTGTATTTGTGTGTGTTTGCAGGTAATACTCTGTTAACAGGCTCTACTAGCCTCCAGTTGTGGTCTAATGATGATGGTGGAACAGATGAAGCTGAAGAACGGGGAAGGCGGACCACACGAGACTCTGATTCTACCTGGAAGAGCATCTGGCAGTGCAGGTAGGAACTACCAAAGTAAATCTTCTAGGGTTGTCACGGTATGAAAATTTAACCTCACGGTTATTGTGACCAAAATTATCACGGTTTTCGGTATTATCGCGGTATTTTTTAAACGGTGTTGCATATGTTCAGAAAGCATTGATAGTCCTGTTCTACACAAACTGAAATAGTTCTGAAAAGGTTTAACAGTGTTTATTAAACCTAAAATAACACAAAGCCTTAGCAAAAGTGCAACTTTTCACAAGTAAAGGAACAAATAGCTTATTTTTCTGGAACATGTTACAGTAGTCAGTGCAGGTTTAAATTATACAAATCCAAACATTCGAAACATAAACAATATGTAAACAAATCAAAGAAACACCACTTGTTTTCTCATATACTTGTTTTCTTCATTATCAAAATGAAAATCTAAAACTCCAGTCCACACTTGACTTGAGCACTGTACAAGTCAACCTTAAAAAATATGTATTTAAAATAAATAGCCACTTTAAACAAATTACTAAAATAACTACTACACTATGTAATCAAATCCAAATGTTCAAGTATAAATGGCATTGAATAAGTAAACAAATCAATGACAAGGAACTAATTGTATATTTCTCTTCATCATCAACAAATAAGATGCTTCATCCAGCAACAGGGTGTCCGTGACACGGTTTAAATGCTGGCAGAGGACGCTGCGGCTGCAGTATATAGTGACTCGTTGCATTCTCCCTCAGCCAAAAGTCCTCGCGTCATGCATTTAAGCTAAAATGCTAATGTTAACTTACCTTGCACTGGCTGTAGAGACGTGGGTGATGGTCACGCAGATGTGCCATGAGATTTGAAGTGTTGCTGCCTTTTGCAGACACTTGTTTCCTGCACGTTCTGCAAACGGGATAGCAGTCTTCTATTAACTGTCCCTCAGCATTTTTCAGAAATCCAAAATATGCCCATACTTCCGAATTTAGTCTTCTTTGAGGGCGGATGGATGTCCTGGGCGCTGCCGTCTCCTCCTTCGGCCATTATTTCAGCTTCAAAGTTTTGGTGCCGTTGCAAACTAAAAAGTGAGTGTGCGCGCCGCGGGAACTTCAGCTGAAGCGACGGTGGCTGGTAAGGGTCACCGCGCTGAAACCGCGGCCACGGTAAACCCACCGAGATAATATAGTTTTTTAAAAACTGGACGGTTATTTTTATTGTCAACTTTTTTACCGGGGTTTACCGCTATACCGGTTACCGTGACAACCCTAAAATCTTCTTCACCTGATGAATCTAACTTGTTTTATGTTATCATTAATATTTCTTCTTACAAATGACATAAAGGATAAATTGAAACAAACTACTGTACCTGCTCTATTTATTTTACATTCTTGGTATTTAGGTCTATGCTCCACAGATTTTATCTTAAATATTACTATTATTTATAAATTCAGTCCAATTCAGAGAAAAGTTATTTTCTGATTGATTTTTTTTTAATCTCTTCTGTTACCAGGACTGCCTCTTCAGTCACGTTTATGAAATTCTCTCCTGATGGGGAATTCTTTGCCACTGCTGGACAGGTGAGGGGGTTTTAACCTCTATGAACATCACTTCAGGGACATTTAATCTCTAATCGTGTGAGTTCTGTTTCTCTTTGCAGGACGACTGCCTGATAAAGGTCTGGTACAACACCAACAAGTGGAAGTCGTGCGCCGCCAGACTGTTTACACCTCCTGATGCCAGCGGGGACGTCCATGGAGATCTGGCCTTCTCCTTTGTCTACTTGGCCCATCCTCGCTCTGTCACCGGCTTCTCTTGGAGGAAGACTAGCAAGTACATGCCCCGGTATGAAAACGGTCAAACCGCCACCTCTACAGCCATGGACGTTTTCCTTTCTTGTGTCGTTTTTTTTCTGCAGAAGTGAAAAGCTGGTAGCTGTGTTCCTCAGAGACATTCTTTAGTCTTTTACAGAAGTTTATTCAACCACATATTGTAATATTTTATATTAACTAGTAGCGATGGGTACCGAATTCGGTACTTTTTAAGGTACCGACCGAATTCCATAGTACCGACTGAGCACCGATTCACGTCATTTCAAACGGTGCCTCGTTTCGGTACCCGTCCTTCATAACGAGAACTTGCCTAGACAGCTGCGCATGCGCAAGAGCGTTATGTCGTCGGTCGCTGCGAGCGAGTTGTAAACAGAGCAGCATGGTAGAAAGAACGCACGCTAAAGCTTGGGTCCACTTCACTAAATGTGATGGGTAACTGGGTGATGATGAAACCAGCGACAACGATCTAAGTGAGACATCCTCATCTTAATCTGCTCCGGTAGGTAAATAAAATGTTTAAGATAACGTTAGCTTGATATGTTAGCTTCCTTTCCGCTAATGGTGCGTTCGCTTTCTCCTCGGAACTCCGAATTACCGACTAGAAGAACATGAGCGCGCTCTAAAGTTTGGCTTCACTTTACTAAATGCGACGGGTGACTGGGTGAAGATGAAACCAGCGACAACGATCTAAGTGTGAGGCATCATCGTTTTAATCTGCTCCAGCAGCTAAATAAACTGTTTAAGATAATGTTAGCTTGATAAGTTAGCTTCCATTGCCACCATTGTTATCAGCTAGTGGTGCGTTTGCTTTCTCCTCGGAAATTCTAACTTCCCAGTAGGAAAAATCAAATGAAAAAGGACGGCAAAAGGAATGAAGATACACAGTAAATTTAGTTCACAGTAAAGATGTTTGCTTCAGTTTAATTATCAGCTTATAAAACTACAAGGACGATGTTAAAATACAAACAGTTGAATGTTATTTATCGTGATATTTATCAAATATGGTTATATATTGAGAAAAATATGTATTTTATTATAAAGGAGAATTAAAATATGAAACACTCAAAAGTATCTAAAATTGGTACCATTAAGTACTAGAGGTGTGAATCTTCACTTGTCTCCCGATTCGATTCGATTACGATTATTGGGTCAACGATTCAATTCGATTCGATATCCCGATGCATCACGATGCATCACGGTTATTTCATATTGATTTGTTTTCATCGATAAATAGAAGATGTCAGATAACTGCTTTTTATTTTATTTTTTTATCAAAAACGTAATCGACACAACCTGCCATCCCTCAAAATCCCTCCATTCACAACAGGTTAGGACAAAACGTTTTAAACATTTAAGAAGATTTAACAAAGTAAAACATCTGTTTCCTGGTTCAACACCACGCCTCAGGCTGAGAAAAACACGCTTTGCAAAAACTCACAAAATCTAAAAAAGTACTGAAAACCTACAGGACACATAATGTAATAATAAAATCCATAATGTGTTCATATATGAGTGTTTCATGTCTCTGAGCAGCTCTAGAGTCAAATATTTATGCCACAGTTCAAGGATGTCAGAAATAACACCAAATGAAATGTTTGACTTAGTTTGTTATTTTATTTGAACCCAGCGGTTCATTTCTGAAATGTTGGAGAATGAATTAAGTTCAGTTTGATGCAGAAAATAATAAAACACAAAACAAATTCTACACTTCCAATAATATTTAAGATGTGTGTTTTATTCTTTCTGATAATAACACCAGCAGAAGGCTGTGGGCTGGATTAGGATTAAATTACCCAGCTGATGGATCTCCTTCACTAACCAGCTAACTACAAACCTTTCCACTAACCTGTCCTGTGGGACCCTCACCCTGTAACCCTCGTGTCCATGCTGTCTCTGGAGGAGCAGATAGGAGACAGACCTCCTGTAACTTAAAATGAACCAAAGCTTCCTCCCAGTTTCTCTTTAAGATGAGTTTAACATCAGTTTATCTTCATGACACAAAATAATAAAGTGGAACAAGAACTTCTATTTCTCTCTCCTTTTAACTTCTCCGTGTCCCTAAATAAAAGAGACAGACGATCACGCTGCAGCCGCTGTCACTGACCCCGCCCCCTCCCCAAAACCGGATCTCCCTACATTACAACAAGCAGTCTGACTGAGCGCTTCCAGGAGAAATAATAATTAAATTATGAAAATAATAACGCGTGTTTGGAGGAGCGTCCTCCGATCGTCTCTCTGAGCAGACAGTGTCTCTCTCTCTCTGTCGCTGATCGAGCGAGCGGAGCGCGCCGCACGACAACCGCTCAATTAACATAATTCACGGCCCAAATCCAACAGAACCGGTCGGGCTGATTCGGTTCCGGTTTGGTCTCGGGTGACAACTCTAGCGCTCAGCCCTGCAGTACCACATTAAGGCGGAGGTAAATGTGGAGGACGCTCACTCTGACAGATATGGACGCGGCGCTGGTGCCGCCATTAAAAAAACAAAACTACATTCCACTATAATCGATTATGGCGTACTCTTCTACGATGCAGAATCGTTTATGTCCGCATCCCGATGCATCGATTATTTGATTATTTTCCTCAGCTCTATTAAGTACCGGTATCGATTCCTAGGTACCGGCAATTAGTACCGAATCTATTCAGATGTCAAAGGCACCCCTCCTTATTAACTAGTTCAGTGCTCTGAGGGGTGTCATTTCTCCATTTATCTTATAAATTTGCAGCAGATTTAATTTAGAAAATGAATTCAAACAGAAATCTTGTTACCTTGGCGAAATAATAAAAACATTAAAATGCTGTTGGACTAATACATGAAGCCATCTGAGACCGTCCCTAATCCCTGTTTCATTTTTGAAGCTATTAGACGCCACGCTGTGGGTTAAGATGCCTTTGAGTGCTCATCCGTGATTAGATGCATCAATAAAACTTTTCTACTGATTTCAACCTTATTTCCTTCTGAAGTGAATATTTACATATTTAGATGCATCCTTGTATCCGCATTGGTACGTTTTGGATTTTGAGCTTTAATACAACTCCTTGCCCCTCCTTATTTCATCCTGATTCACCTTCAGAAAGACTGAATGTTCTTTTTACTCTCTAGTCCACCACATTATACCCTTTTTTTGTCTCCTTCCCCTAAAGAGGCGCCGTCTGTAACGTTCTCCTCACCTGCTGTAAGGACAGCGTTTGTCGACTGTGGGCAGAGACGCTGTTGCCAGGTGACACCCTGATCTCTGGTTACCGTGACAACCACGCGTCCGATGATGAAAACGTCAAAAGCGGCAGTTCCTCTTCGAAAAGCACCTGCGATGGGAAGACGCAACAAGAAGTACGTGACGTTTTTGTCTAGATAAATGTATTATATAGATGTTGATAAATATTTGATTGTTCTTTGTAAAAAATAGTTTCTAAACTTTGGAAATAAATGGAAGAAAGAACAAAAACTGCGAAAGGTAACGAGAAAAAAATAATAAAAGAACGTTAGATTTTTTCCTGCGTTTTTGCAACATCTTTCGTTTATAATTTATCCCTTAATTGTGTTTTTGTGTTGTGATGAAGGCAAGTCCACATCTAGATTCCTGTCGCCTCCTTTTCTCAGTGATACAGATTGTAGCTGACAGTTTAACCGCTCGAGGCTCCCAGAACAACACGAACACACACATTTTGTTTTGGACATTTAATATAATCAGGGATCTCACTGGTTCTTAAATCGCCCACGGCAGATTCGAGTACAGGAAATGTAGGTATGCAGATTTGTTTGTTGTTTGTTTGTGCCTTGAGCATCGTCTGAAAGAGTTCCTGTGTGGAATTATTCATTACAAATCAGAAAAAGCCGGATGGTTCAGGTGGAGTTAAACTGGAGGTAGGGTCGTCGCGGTGTGAAAATGTAACCTCACGGTTTTCGGTATTATCGCGGTATTTTTTTTAAACGTGTTACTTTTTCAGACAACTAAATAAACCCTGTATATCAGGAAATATTGTCCTCAGTTTGTGTCTAAATTCTGCCTAAAATGTGTTATTTTGTAATTATGTTGTTTATTTGTTTACATTTTTCCCCTTTAGTCTTTAAATTACCAATATTTGCCCATTGCTTCTTATTTTTTGTCTGTTTGATGTCATCATTTTAAAAATATTAGATCAGATGATACTCAGTACTCAAGTAACCTTCTAATCAGATAGTTTTTTTTACCCTTACTTGAGTAATAAACCCTATATCAGGAAAGTATCGTCCTCGGTTTGTGTCCTTCCAGTGAGCTTTGCAGATGTGGGAAAATGTCATCAGGCAGTAATCGTTGTTAAATTCATAATTATTCTCGGAGAGAGACCAACTCTTATCTGCCCCTGGGAGCCCCGTAATGCATAGCGTCATTTCAACATGGCGGTGTCCGCGACACGGTTTATATGCAGGTAGCGGCGCTGCGGCTGCTTTATATTGCGACTCGTTGCATTCTCCCTCAACCCAAATCCTCGGATCACGCATTTTAGCTAAAACGCTAACGTTAGCTTGCCTTGCGTTGACTGTAGAGTTGTGGGTGATGGTCACGCAGATGTGTCATGAGATTTGAAGCGTTGCTGCCTTTCACAGACACTTTTTCTGCACGTGCTGCAAACAGGATAGCCGTCTTCTATCAACTGTCCCTCGGCATTCTTCAAATATCCAAAAGATGCCCGTACTTCCCACTTTGTCTTCTTTGAGGGATAATAAATGTCCTGAGTGCTGCCGTCTCCTCCTTTGGCCATTATTTCAGCTTTAGCTTCAAGAAAGTTTTGGTTGTAAACAACAAAGTGCGCATGTGCCGCCGGCAACTTCAGCAGATGATACGGTGGCTGGTAAGGGTCACCGCGCCTACACCGCAGCCACGGTAATCCACCGAGATGATATATTATTTTTTAAAACAAGACGGTTATTATTATTGTTAACTTTTTTACTGGGGTTTACCGCTACACCGGTTACCGTGACAACCCTAACTGGAGGTAATTCTTCCTATTCGTAACCTGAAAGGAGTGTTGATTCGGGAAAAGACCCGTACCATGTTTAAGACCTGGTGTGGTTCATTCATGCATTTATCGATGGTAAATGACCTCTAAACAGCTGTGGGGCTAATCATCTTTTTTTTCCTCAGCAGTTCTGCTTTCAAGAATCCTGGCATTTCTCCTACAATCGGGACGTTCCCCAGCCCTCGGTGACCGGCTGCCTGCTTCACCATCAGAACCAACACTATAACCACCGGAGGAGCAGCAGCAGCAGCTCACCCCACGCTAACGCTCTCTGCCACTTCCATATAGCTGCCAGCATCAACCCCGCCACAGGTCGGACTCAAACAAACTACCACCTGCCTCTCGTTTAAAAGATCTTTGCTTTCCGACACGTTTAAAGCTACTAGATTTCTTTAAAAGAACCAAACAAGCGAACACAGTAAATCAAATTATTCTGACTCTGCATGAATAAAGTCAGCTGGAGGTCAGAGTGCTTCACCCCAGTGCTTCTCATCACAGAAAACAGAGTTAATTTTTTAGATTGCTTGATTTATTTAACGTCCCACTGAACCGCTGTGCTCCGGGCTGCTCAGAGTAGCTGTGAGCGTTTTGTTTTTGTTACGGTCTGTTTTGTGCGAGGCGGCTTAATTTGACCTGAAATCGGTACAAGACCTCGTAGATTGTTTCAGCCTCGAGGCTGAAGAAGTCTTGAGGGTTGCATTTGTATGCTTTAACTGTTCAGATTCACTTTTTTTTTTCAGATTTCAGATTTATTGGCCAAGTAAAGTTACATTTACAAGGAATTTAGCTTTGGTAGATGTTCGCTCTCTAAAACATACAACATCTACAATAAATGAGAATAAAAATACATAAAAAAAACGATAAGAACATGTATACCCACACACATGTTCATTTACACACATATACATATATGCATACACATACACACACATAAACATATGTATACACACACATGTACATTTACACACATGCATATATAAATATATGCATACACACACACATATACATATGTATACACACACACACATGTACATTTACACACACACACACATATGCATATATGCATACACATACACACACATATACATACAGTTGTGGTCAGAAGTTTACATACACTTGTAAAAAATATATTATAATGGCTCTACTGAGTGTCCCGTTATTTCTTAAACTCTGATTTTTCTCTGATAGAGTGATTGGAACAGACACTTCTTTGTCACAAAAAACATTCATGAAGTTTGGTTCTTTAATGTCTTTATTATGGGTTAACAGAGAAAAGTGATCACATTTGCTGGGTCACAAATATACATACAGCAGTGCTACTATTTGGTTACATGTCCCTTAGCCATTTTCACTTCAATTAGGCACTTTTGGTAGCCATCCACAAGCTTCTGGTTGAATCTTTGACCACTCCTCTTGACAGAATTGGTGAAGTTCAGTTAAATTTGATGGCTTTCTGACATGGACTTGTTTCTTCAGCACTGTCCACATGTTTTCAACGGGGTTTAAGTCAGGACTTTGGGAAGGCCATTCTAAAACCCTTATTCTAGCCTGATTTAGCCATTCCTTTACCACTTTTGATGTGTGTTTGGGGTCATTGTCCTGTTGGAACACCCAACTGCGCCCAAGACCCAACCTCCGTGCTGATGATTTGAGGTTATGTGTAAGAATGTGAAGGTAATCCTCCTTCTTCATTATCCCATTTACTCTCTGTAAAGCACCAGTTCCATTGGCAGCAAAACAGCCCCACAGCATAATATTCCCACCACCATGCTTGACTGTAGGCATGGTGTTCTTGGGGTTAAAGGCCTCACCTTTTCTCCTCCAAACATATTGCTGGGCATTGTGGCCAAAAAGCTCGATTTTTGTTTCGTCTGACCACAGAACTTTCCTCCAGAAGGTCTTATCTTTGTCCATGTGATCAGCAGCAAACTTCAGTCAAGCCTTAAGGTGCCGCTTTTGGAGCAAGGGCTTCTTTCTTGCATGGCAGCCTCTCAGTCCATGGAGATGCAAAACACGTTTGACTGTGGACAATGACACCTGTGTTCCAGCAGCTTCTAATTCTTGGCAGATCTGCTTTTTGGTGATTCTTGGTTCACTCTTTACCCTCCTGACCAATTTTCTCTCAGCAGCAGGTGATAGCTTGCGTTTTCTTCCTGATCTTGGCAGTGATGAAACAGTGCCATGCACCTTATACTTACAAACAATTGTTTGCACTGTTGCTCTTGGGACCTGCAGCTGCTTTGAAATGGCCCCAAGTGACTTTCCTGACTTGTTCAAGTCAATAATTCGCTTTTTCAGATCCATGCTGAGCTCCTTTGACGTTCCCATTGTAGCGTTTGTATCCAATGAGCCCTATTTACCTGGCCTAAGAGAAGTCACCAGCTGTAGTCACTCATAATCACTCACAAGAAGTTAAGAGGCCATGCTATGAAGCTCAGTTCACTGACACGTTTCTAAGTCACCAAAATTGCTAGTTCATGTTGCTGTATGTATATTTGTGACCCAGCAAATGTGATCACTTTTCTCTGTTAACCCATAATGAAGACATTAAAGAACCAAACTTCATGAATGTTTTTTGTGACAAAGAAGTGTCTGTTCCAATCACTCTATCAGAGAAAAATCAGAGTTTTAGAAACAACGGGACACTCAGTAGAGCCATTATATTATATTTTTTACAAGTGTATGTAAACTTCTGACCACAACTGTATGTATACACACACATGTACATTTACACACACACACATATATATACACATACACACACATATACATATGTATACACACACATATGCATATATGCATACACATACACACACATGTACATATGTATACACACACATGTACATTTACACACATACACATATGCATACACATACACACACATATACATATGTATACACACACATGTACATTTACACACACACACATATGCATACACATACACACACATATACATATGTATACACACATATGCATATATGCATACACATACACACACATGTACATATGTATACACACACATGTACATTTACACACACACACATATGCATACACATACACACACATATACATATGTATACACACATATGCATATATGCATACACATACACACACATGTACATATGTATACACACACACATTTACATTTACACACATACACATATGCATATATGCATACACATACACACACATATACATATGTATACACACACACATGTACATATGTATACACACACACATGTACATTTACACACACACACACATATGCATACACATACACACACATTTACATATGTATACACACACACACACACACATGTACATATGTATACACACACATGTACATTTACACACACACACATATGTATACACATACACACACATATACATATGTATACACACACACATGTACATTTACACACACACACACATATGCATACACATACACACACATATACATATGTATACACACACACATATATGCATACACATACACACATATACATATGTATACACACACACATATATACATATACGCATACACATACACACACTCATATCCATTAGCATACTGAATAAGTATAAAAAGTATATTAAAAGGATGGTAAAATAATCTACAGATTCAGGAGTGAAGGCTGAAGGAAAGAAACTGTTCTTGTGTCTGGTAGTTTTTGTGTACAGCGATCTATAGCTTCTGCCAGATGGGAGGAGATGGAAGAGAGCAGAAGAAGAAGAAGGAGAAAATATCATTTCTATAGCGCCTCTCAAGATAAAAATCACGAGGCGCTTCACAAAAACAAAAAATGTAAAAATATAAAAAGCATTTAGAAAATGTTTAAAAATATATTTAAAATGAGCAAAAATAGGCAATTGTGATTAAAAAAATGTTAAGAGAAAGAGAGAGAGTGAACAGGAAAGAGGGAAATCAGTGGATCCTGAGGAAGGTGGAATAGGTGGGGAGAGCAGAATAAAGAGAGAGAGGTGAAGAAGATCATACAAAAGCCAGCTTGAACAAGTGAGTCTTCAGCTGCTTTTTAAAGGAGACCACTGAGTCCACTGATCTCAGGTTCAGGGGGAGAGAGGTCCAGAGTCTGGGGGCCACAGCAGCAGATGATCTGTCACCTTTGACCTTTAGCCTGGTGCTGCACAACCAGTAGAGTAGGTGCAGGATGTTTGGCATCTTGGACAATATTCACTGCCTTTTACCTGGTCCTGCTGATGTACAGTTCCTGGACAGAGGGCAGTTGGGCACCAATGATTTTTCCTGCTGTTTTTTTTATTTTATTTTATTTTTATATTTTATTTTTTATTATTATATTTCCTGTTTGGTTGTAGAAGGCTACAAACCACATTTACATGCATGAACGTTGCTTTATTCCAACAGATGTACAGTTTCTGGATTTCCCAGGTTTGCTGTCACTTTATTAGTTATTTAATATTTTCACAGACATTCCTTTACTGCCCTCCATCTCCTCTCTGAATTCGGTGGATGACGATGAACCCGGGGGTCCGTTCACCGTTCACTGGCTCAACAACAAGGAGCTTCAATACACTTTAGCCATGGAGGTGTTTTTGGAGCAGCTCAGAGGCAGTTTAGAACAAAGGAAGGAATTCTCCACCGAAGGTCCGAGAGCATTTTACCTCTAAATTTGCTTTGTGATAGTTTACCAGTCGATGTGTTGCTAGGTTACGGTGGTTTGTTTTATTTTTCAGAACTTGATTATGAAGAAAACTCGGATGAAGATGAAAGCAGAGCAGCCGACCCCCATGAGCTTGATGACGTGGGGCTTCCTGTAGCAGCCGTGGAGCACCAGGTGGACATTCTGCTGGAGGAGTGGAATAAAGCGGCAGACATGTTGTTCAGTATACACCCTATAGACGGCTCCCTGTTAGTCTGGCATGTCGACTGGTTGGATGAATTCCAGCCAGGCATGTTCAGACAAACTCAGGTATTCAATTCAATTCAATTCAAAAATACTTTAATAATCCCAGAGGGAAATTGATTGCTGTAGTAGCTCAGAATAATAATAATAATCAAGTCATCAAAGAGTTGTTGTATATTACAATGGCTGTTGGCAGGAAGGATCTCCAGTAGCGGTCAGTGTTGCAGCCAAACTGAAGAAGCCTCTGACTGAAGACACTCTTCCGTTGTCGGACAGTCTTGTGAAGAGAACGCTCAGGGTTGTCCATCATTTTCTTGATTCTCTGGAGAATCCTTCTTTGCATTATCTCCTCCAGCGGTTCTGAAACTGACGAAACTCTGGCTGAGTCCTTGAAAGGGCTTGGAGTTCCTCCATCTTGTTGGCCAGTGATCTCACATTGCCCATTATGATCGATGGAAGAGATAGTTTGAATTTCCTCTTTCTCCGTCTCCGTTTTGCTCCCGCTCTGCACCCACGCTTCTTGTGTTTTAGCTCATTTGGGATTTGTGGCTTCAGTTGAGGTATTATTTCAGCCTTTCCAATGTTAATCAGCTGCTCCCGATTGTAAACCAGCTTGTTACCACGGTTACGCATCATAACAAATGCTCAAAAAGTGAAAAAAGCTAAAAAGAAATAGCAGTAAAAATCCTCCAAGCTTCACAGCACCAGAAACAGAAAAGTAAAGTGTCCAAAAAATACAGTTTTTCTTGAGAAACTAGAAGAAAAAATGTCAGAGAAAAGGCAAAACTTACATATAGTCAACAGAGCTACTCCAACATGCAGCCGCCCAGAGCAGTATCCCTCTCTTTCTGTGGGTTCTTGCGTAATCATTCAAACCTGCTTAAATTAATTGGAACAGATCAGATCTTTGTTTTATGTTCGTAAACGATTGTGTCTCCTGAAGCCTGATTTATACTTCTCCATCTGCGTTGGTGCGGAGACACGCAGCGCCATTATGCATCAACGCAAGGGCTCTCTGACGGGCTCACAGAGGGTGACGGAGAAATGCCCAAATTTTTAAATATCCGTTGAAAGTGACGGAAACCGAAAGCTTGTGATTGGTCAGGTCACCACTGCTTGTAAATTTGGCAACAGCACCGCCATTGCCTAGGGATGGGTACCTTTGACATTTGAATCGATTCGGTACTTAACGGTACCAATTTTAGATACTTTTGAGTGTTTATTATTTTAATTCTCCTTTATAATTAAATATATATTTTTCTCAACATATAACCATATTTGATAAATATCACGATAAATAACATACAACTGTTTGTATTTTAACATCGTCCTTGTAGTTTTATAAGCTGATAATTAAACTGAAGCAAACATCTTTACTGTGAACTAAATTTACTGTGTATCTTCATTCCTTTTGCCGTCCTTTTTCATTTGATTTTTCCTACTGGGAAGTTAGAATTTCCGAGGAGAAAGCGAACGCACCATTAGCTGATAACAATGGTGGCAATGGAAGCTAATTTATCAAGCTAACGTTATCTTAAACAGTTTATTTAGCTGCTGGAGCAGATTAAAACGATGATGCCTCACACTTAGATCGTTGTCGCTGGTTTCATCTTCACCCAATCACCCGTCGCATTTAGTAAAGTGAAGCCAAACTTTAGAGCGCCTTCATGTTCTTCTAGTCAGAAATTCGGAGTTCCGAGGAAAAAGCAAACACACCATTAGCGAAACAGAAGCTAACATATCAAGCTAACGTTATCTTAAACATTTTATTTACCTGCCGGAGCAGATTAAGATGAGGATGTCTCACTTAGATCGTTGTCGCTGGTTTCATCATCACCCAGTTACCCATCACATTTAGTGAAGTGGACCCAAGCTTTAGCGTGCGTTCTTTCTACCATGCTGCTCTGTTTACAACTCGCTCGCAGGGACCGACGACATAACGCTCTTGCGCATGCGCAGCTGTCTAGACAAGTTCTCCTTATGAAGGACGGGTACCGAAACGAGGCACCGTTTCAAATGACGTGAATCGGTGCTCAGTCGGTACTATGGAATTCAGTCGGTACCTTAAAAAGTACCGAATTCAGTACCCATCGCTTCCATTGCCCCATCAAAAACTAAACAAATATTTAGTGGCAGACATGGAACAGATTGAAGAACGCCTCACGGAAAAAGCCGTGAAAAGGGAATACAAAAATACAGAGCTAACGTTTTATTCGTGGACAGAAATGACAGGAAACGTGGGTTTAGAGGTGGCGACCGCATGAAGACATGAAGGAGAATGAAGGACAAATTCAGGGACAAAAAGTCTCCATTTGTGATGTCACAATCGGGGAAAGTAGTATAGAACCACCTCTCGTGCAAGAGAAAGCTGCTGCAGGAGGAGCAGCTGCTCTACTTCGAGCCCCTCCCTGATATTAGAGGAGCTTCTCAGCTAATAGCAGCCTTAGCTGGGCGTGGGCGGGGCTAGCTCCAGCTTGTTTCCTTAAAGTGACAGAGCCCTGAAATGGTTCATTCTGGAAGTTACTGAAAATTTCACGAGTAAAACTGCTTAAATCAGTTTCTGCGAGAGGGATTTAGTGCATAAAAACCTCACAAGCAACACAGACCATAGAACTATTATAACTGCATCACAACACCAAAGTCATAATGTGTCTCTTAAGTTTTTCTTTATTTATTGTGATTGGTGTTTTTCTCTCTTTCAGGTGTCGTTTGTGTCCCGGATCCCTGTGGCATTCCCTACAGGTGATGCCATCTCCTTGAGCCACAGTGTGGTTATGTACGCATGCAACAAGAACGTGGATTTGGCCATCCAACATGGCAGACAGAAGCCACCTGGGAGCTCACTGTCTCAAACCAAAGCCGCTCTAATAAGCTATGGCAGTCAAGGTAAGGCCACACCCAGCAGTAGCCTCCGGCTCAGCATCTTCACCCCCAATGTCCTGATGATCTCCAAACACGACGATGGCTCTCTGAATCAGTGGGCAGTCAGTTTTGCGGAGGACTCCGCTTTCTCCACCATGCTCAGTGTTTCGCACAAGTCGCGCTACTGTGGTCACCGTTTCCACCTCAACGACTTGGCCTGTCACTCTTTGCTTCCTCTCCTCCTCACCACCTCGCACCACAATGCCTTGAGGACGCCCGAGGTTGACGGCATCCTGGCTCCTCCAGAGGCCCACTTCAAGTCTCTGCCTCATGGCTCACGGCCTTCCAGAGTGTCCATGGGTGGGGCTTCTCAAGATCCAAACGCCATCTACAGTGAGCTGATTTTATGGCGTGTAGACCCAGTCGGTCCTCTGTCCTTGTCGGGCGGGGTGTCCGAGCTCGCTAGGATAAACTCTCTTCATGCATCGGCGTTTTCTAATGTAGCCTGGCTGCCCACGCTCATTCCCAGCAGCTGTCTAGGTGAGAAAATGTTCAATTTATTCCAAACTATTGAATTCTTCTGCAGCTAACCAATAAAACAATCAAAGCTCTCTTGTCAATTGTGGCTATTTTTGCAACTTATTTAGTCATCAAACCTCTAATTTCCAAACATAATCCTGATAAAGTGTGAAAATCAGCATATTCTGTATCCAACTTTTCTTTTCGTTTTTAGGTGTGTACTGTAACTCCCCCAGCGCTTGCTTTGTGGCGAGTGACGGTCAGTCCCTCAGGCTCTATCAGGCTGTCATCGAGGCTAAGAAACTCCTGAGTGAGCTCTCCAATCCTGAGGTTTCTGTGAGTGATCAGAGGCAACAGCTGTCCTGCTTTTAGCATCTTCCTCTAGCGACACTCAAAAATAACCAAACACTCTTCAAACCCTCTGTCACATGACCAACAGATGCATTTCTTTTTTTTTGATTTCAGAAATATGTTGGAGAGGTGTTCAACATCGTCAGTCAGCAGTCCACAGCAAAACCAGGATGCATCATAGAGCTGGACGCCATTACTGACTTTGTAAGTAAAAATAACAAACGTCCGCCCTCTCATCCCGTCACCCTCCTGTCTAACAGCAGACACACTACTGATGTCCTGTAGAATCTTCTTCTTAAATGTGTTACAGTCGTACGTTTATGTCTGAATTAAAGGTCATCCGTGTTGTGCAGCTCACTGTAGTTGAGTCTCTGCGAAAGGTCGGCCATGAAAAGTAGACTCAGAGCCACAAACCCCTCTCTCAACCCCCCTAGCAGTTTGTGGAGCAGTATTAACGCAGGCTTTGTCTCAGAGTCACCCTGTTCTTTACTGTCTATGATGAAATATTCCGTTTCTGCATCTGATTTAGTTTGAAAGCACCTGCGTCTGGGTTTTTTAACTTTACAGCAGGGCAAAGAGACTCAGCTCCTGCATGTTTTTGAAGAACATCTGATTCTTGGCGACGTGAGCAAAGAAGACACACAGGAAACTCCTGACTCTCCCTGTAACGGTATATCAACTTTTTATGTTTTTTATGGAAATATTTATGTTTTCATCGTATAATTCCGTCTGTTTCATTCATTAATGGTGTTTCTCTGCAGATTCCAGTAAACCAGCTTTTTCCAGACGTTTCTTTCTGGTGGTGGTGGAATTGTCCCCAACCGGTCGCTCGCTCCTCCACATGTGGCATCTCCATCTTGCTGCTTGCCCTGTAACCATCGGTGGGTACTTTATCCATACGTCATTGCGTTTTGAGAATATGTTGTGTTTAATTATCATCATGTTAACAAAACTAGCAGCATAACGGACCGTTTTCCTGCAGGGATGGTCACAGTAGTTAGTTTGTTCACACAAGATCAATAGCTGCATCTAAGACTACGTTCACAGTAGGGCTGTAGCGAAGCCTTGATGGCGTCGACGGCTCGATTCTAAAAAATTTTCTGCGTCAGATCCTGTAGTCGACGCACCGCGCCCACTTGTTGCATCCCCAGGAGTTTGTAAATAGAGGAGGAATCTGCCTGTTTTTCCTCTAGTTCGCCCTCTTCTCCACCTTCACTAACATCTCCACCAAATACCGAAGACCCGGAACAACGTCCGTCCGCTACTAGGTTCCTTTCCTGTTTTGCCCGCCTTCGTCTCCCGGCAACGGACAACAACTTCCGGGGTCAGATGCGCTGCTTCGTCTCTACCGCAGATGTAGAAAATCACCGGGAGCGTTTCTCCCTTCATAAAGGAGCTTCTTTCAGACATTAGGAGAGCTGTTTTTGTGGTAGCAGTCTCTCCTCTGTGCTGGTCTGTTTGCTGCTGGGTGGTTTTGGTTTATTTAAACTTGGTAACTTGAACTTAGCGTTGGTAAAGCTACTGTTAGCATTTTTGCTAACAGCTTCTTGCGTTTGGATAAGCTGTTACGTTTTGGTTTAGAGTTCATCTTTTTTGTGGCGTAGATCTCCCTTTTATTACATTTAGAGTGTTGTGGGTTTTCGGTTTAGTGTAAAATATCACCTTGAGTTTGGTTTAACCGCCCAGTTTAGAGTTTGGACCTTTGGAGATCCTTATTTTGGTCCAGAACCCTGTAATCTTTGCCCAGTGGGACATCCCTACTTATTTGTACTTTTGTTTTAATTCCCCACAGGCAGAATTAGGTTTATTATTCCCAACCTGTGGATGGAAAGATTTATGTTTTTTTGTAGTTGTAAATAAACCTCATCATCATTTTAACTTTTAAATCCCGTTTTTGTCCCTTCCTTTTTGCACACGAGCCAAACTCCCCAGGAAGAGTCGTAACATCACTCGCCTCACGCACATAAGTGACCAAAACAAAGCAGCATGGAGACACTCCGTCTCCAACCACCTCTCAGGCAGCAGCCTGCACTCCCAACTTCTACACGTCACCAGAACTTTACCAACCGACACAATAAAAGCAGTTATACAAAATGGAAGGCCTGTAGTGTTTATTCTCTTACAGTAACAATCTATCAATTTTTTGAGGGATTTATTAGAGATTTTTTGGTTTTTATTAACTGTGCAATAGAAAAATAAACACTAGATTAATTGTCTAAATAGTCATTAGAATGGTCGACTATTCGATAAAATAATCGTCAGAATAATTGTTTTAAAAATAATCGTTTTCCCCCCAGCCCTAGTTCACACTGCAGGCCTTGACGCTCAATTCTGATTATTTATTTATTTATTTATTTATTTATTTGTTTATTTATTTATTTATTTATTTATGCGTAAATCAGACATTTTTTTGTGTGGCTGTTCACATTATGACTGAAATGGGACGCCAGACTCTCCAGTGTGAACGCCAAGTGGAGTCGGAACCAGAAGAGGTGGAGTTGTGATGTGAAACGCCTTCACTGACAACCCACAGACCCAAGATCACACCTGGCTGTCGAGTCTCCCGTTTTAAGAACCGTAAACTCTTTTACTCCTCATTCCCACCGTCTTCCTGAATTATTATTCACAGAAAATGTTTTGGTTTTGAGTTTATTCACGGACGCAGAGTTTTGTGTGTAGGGAGGGGCGGGCGCTCTATGTGACTGGCCAATCACAGAGCGTGAAGACAGTCAGTTACCCAATGAGGATTTTCCTTCAGCACGATTACAGATATTTACGAGTTTTACTCGTTTCATGCTCGTACTCGTCAAAAATGCTTCATCCGTACCGAGTATCCGGCTCATCCCTATTAAATATTATAAATTATGTTAAAATGTGCTTCTAATATATTTGTGTAATTTTTAATAGTCTTAATAATCGCACGCCGCCCCTCATGTATCTGCTTTTGGTAATGAAAATCACTAAGCTTCTATCAGAAGGTATCACATTGCTTTCCTGAACTGAAGTTCCTTTTGTTTGTGTTCCGCCCTCAGAGGAAACCGCAGCACAGAAGGACATAGACCCGTTTTCTCCTCCCATCAGCCCTCAGTTCATCTTTGACGCACTCAATTCTCCAGGAATTCAGAAGAGTAAACCCTGCACTTCCAATCTGCAGAGCACCTGTCGCCTCACCCTCACAACACACAGGCTGTGCAGCCAAGAGATGGCTCTTCCTGCTGGCGTGGAAGCCATCAGTGTCACTCCCTCAGCAGGTGAGAAACGACGGAGGCGCAACTCCATCTATACTGAGATCTTTTTCATGTTTTCCCACACAATAAAACACAACGCATCTCTACAAACGCTGGTGCTATGTTCTGAGCATGAGCTAGCCTAACCCCTTGTCTGTAAACCATTTATGAACCCACATTTGTTTCCTCCTACATCCCTGAATGCAGCACAAAGCTGGCTACGGGAGGTTATTTTGTTCACCCCGGTTTCACACTGCAAGCATCAACGGAACGGCAGCGCAGCGGCGCCGCTTCAAATAGAATCCAATTATAGTCTATGGAGTGTTTCATACCAGCCGCGACGCGGCAATTTCCAGGCGCGTCCCAGAAGCGCCGTGGCGCGCCGCGCCGCTTAACCCCGGGTTTCCACCGGAGCCGTCAGCAGCACATCTTGCTCGCGTAAGCTGCTGCTTGGCCCTTCCCACGAGACGCGAAGCAGCAGGGGAGCAGCTGTCACCGACCGAGCACGAAGTCACACGAGTGACTTCGTCAGTAAACACAACAACAAGCAGAAAACTGCAACATGGTTTGTGTTTTATGTTCTGTCCGTTTTATAATCGCCAATACGGACCTGAAAAACAACAGAGACCGCTAGCTAGGTGATAACTTCTCACGGGGCCGCACAGTTAGTAACCATTTTTAAAAGTAAAGCAACCGGAAAGCAGTACGTTCTTTATTCTGAAAATCTCGGGAGCTTCTCTCCATTTCCGTGTCCAATTTCCTGTCTTTCCTTCCCCAAGAATGTCGAACTTGACCCGTTTCGGAGGCGTCACGCGTAGAAAATAGAACCGGCGCGTGAAGGCCGCGACACGCTGCTCCTGAGACGCGGCCGACTCGCGCTGCTGACGGCTCCGGTGGAAAAGGTTCTGTTGACCACAGCGGTTCCTATCAGCAGCTATGACGTTCTGCTGCAGTAACGTGCTGCTGACGGCTCCCGTGGAAAGCCGGGGTAACCCTCTGGGGTCCGTGGACGCGTATCCGCGTCTTCTGAACTGGTCTGATTTGGGACGCTGTAGCAGCAAGACTCCGCCTCCCTGAGTTTCGATTTCAATTCAGCTTTAAAAAGGAGATTATAAACTAACCCCAGTTTTTAAGTTGTGTTAATAGGCGACGTAAAAGCGGAGTTATACTAAACTAAAAAACGACCTATTTTTAGACAATCTGATAACTTGTCAAAACAGCAGTTTAGTTATCTGTGAGAGGGAATGTGCTTGTGAACATAAAAACCTACAAAAACATGAGATCCTTTTGCTGTTGGTGGAAGTCTCACGTATTCAGCTGATAAAAAGCATCATTATGTAGCTGAGAGAGAGAGGAAGGCCGCACGAGTAACGAGATGTGCGCAAAAAGGAGCCGCTTGGCGGGGAAAGGAGTGGCGCGAACGGAGTAACAACAAACAGTTAGACAGATATTGACGGTAAACTTCATATTTTGGAGCGATCCGGACAGATATATTGTCTCTGCAGTTTAGTAGGCTTTTATTAGGCTTGTATAAAGGATGATGAGAAGGATAAATGTCCACCAGGCAGTCCAGATAGTACGGCTGTTTTTTGAACCGGAAGCAGAAGAAGTGGGCGGAGACTCACAGCCGGAGTCTGAGGCAAACAGCGAGGATGTTGATGACGATGTGGCGGATCCATCCTTCCTCATAGAAGAGTTGGGTCATGATGAGGCAGAGGATGAAGGCAGAGATCCAGCTCCTCGGAGATCCAACGAGAGGAGTGGGCGGCGCAGCGCAGCTGTCAGACTCGATCTCCGCGGCGTGAGACAGTGCCACTCCCTACTCCAAAATGCATGTACATTATTGCCAAATTAATAAAAATAAGTATAAATTCAGACAGTCCAGGTTGTCCTGAAAAAAATGATACCCCATAAGGCAAACTTTATTGTTTTTATTAGAAAATACAAAAGAAAAACCAAAATGAGTCAAAAATGGCGATTTACACCCTGGACCCCAGAGGGCTAATAATTTATTTTTTAATTAATTATTTGCTATATTTATTCATATTTTTTTAATAAATGTACAGTCTAGATTACCATTCTAAATTATAAAAAAACATTCGTCATACATGTTTGTTGGTTTCACAGTAAAATAAACAACTTTTTTCCAGTTCGGATTTTATGTTTTTGAGTGATTTACGGTCTAAGATGCTACTCATTTATGTCCAAATATAAAAAATAAGTATAAATTCATAAAGTCCAGGTTGTGCTGAAAAGATTGATACTACATACGGCAGTGGTTATGGTTTTTATTTTGAAAATACAAAGGAAAACTCTAAATTAGTCAAAAACGGCAAATTGCGCCCTGGACCCCAGAGGGTTAAGATAGGATCGAGTTCTATTTTTTTCCGCGAGCCGCTTCTGGGACACGTCAATTTCCGCAGTTCACATAGTGCGAGACAGGAAACCACACACGGTTTCAGTGTAAAATCCTCAGTTATTTTCAAAATAAAATGCAACATTGCGATTTTATATAAAACGTACGTCCGCACGTGCGACCGAACGGCTTTGTTTGACACCAGTTTCTTTCGAGAAGTGCAGCGGTGTGATTCCTCGCGGGGGTTGTGATCTCTCGACGAGGAAAGTGTCGGAAGTCTCGAAGGATTTTAGAATCTTGCGGGTACAGCGAGGCGCAGCGAGGAAGCCCTCTCCCGGTGTGAAAAGGACCGGTTTGAAGTTTGCAAGTGAGCCGCGCCGCTGCTTTCCGTTCCGCTGATGCGGTGAAACCGGGGTCAGACACCCAGCGTATGCGTGGTCTCTCTGAGATAAGGAATATTATGGTCCGAACGCAGAAACGAGTAGAAATGTTGTTTTGCGGATGGATTTCCAAAAGGAATTTGACAGATTGTGAAATGAAAACACCAAAAGAAGAATTTGCAGCAATGTGTTTGCAAAGCACACCACACACCTGTTAAGACGAGACTTTTCTAGGCAAAGTAGAGAATAATTCACTAAAAACAACAATGCCATACATTTTAGATTAAAAGTCGTCGTCGTGGTCTTCCTCCGCTTATCCGGGTCTGGGTCGCGGGGGCAGCATCCCAACTAGGGAGCTCCAGACCGTCCTCTCCCCGGCCACCTCCACCAGCTCCTCCGGCAGGACCCCAAGGCGTTCCCGGACCAGATTGGAGATGTAACCTCTCCAACGTGTCCTGGGTCGACCCGGGGGCCTCCTGCTGGCAGGACATGCCCGAAACACCTCCCCAGGGAGGCGTCCAGGAGGCGTCCTGACCAGATGCCCAAACCACCTCAACTGACTCCTTTCGATCCGGAGGAGCAGCGGTTCTACTCCGAGTCCCTCCCGAATGTCCGAGCTCCTCACCCTATCTCTAAGGCTGAGCCCGGCCACCCTACGGAGGAAACTCATTTCGGCCGCTTGTATCCGCGATCTCGTTCTTTCGGTCATTACCCAAAGCTCATGACCATAGGTGAGGATTGGGACGTAGATCGACCGGTAAATCGAGAGCCTGGCTTTCTGGCTCAGCTCCCTCTTCACCACGACAGATCGGCTCAGCGTCCGCATCACTGCAGACGCCGAACCGATCCGCCGGGTAGATTTAAAGTCATCAGTGAAAACATTCTAACTAATGTGATGTTGGTCTTTTTTTAGGTCACTTGAGTGCATCATGTTCTCTACCAGCTGGGCATGTGCCTTACCTCCTTGCTACTTCCTGTTCTGATGGAAAGGTGCGCTTCTGGAGGTGTCACGCTGCATCAACAGAGCCCTCCCGTGTGGACAGTTTGGTGTATCAGTGGGAGGAGTGGCCCCTTCTTTTGGAGGATAGGTTTCCAAACAGCAGCTCAGTGAGTGTTCCCGGTCGCCCCATCAAGGTGAGCTGCTGTCACACCGGACGAATCGCTGTAGCCTACAGGGAGCTGTCGCACGCCCCTCTGAACTCAACACCTCATCTGAGCTTTCATAGACCACCAATCCCTCCGAATTTGGCATCCTCACCATATGCATCCAACAACAACACCCAGCGGATCCCAACCCTGACTGTTCAGCCAAGCCCGAGTCTGACTCTGAAGTCTAACCCAGCACACACGAGAGAACCTCCAGTACACATCAGCATCTTCCAGTGTGAGTCTACTGGTGGCTCCCAGTGGATTCTCGAGCAGACTGTAGTCTTGGACGCAACCGATCCCACAAGCGACCGTGGAATTAGCAGCAGCACGGCCGGAGGTGCCGGTATCTGGAACAATTTTCACTTTTCTGTACCTAATGATAACTGTCTAGGTTCTGCTGGTAAGAGCCTGGTTCACTTGGACTGGGTCTCGCAGGAGGATGGATCCCACATACTGACCGTCGGTATTGGAACAAAGATTTACATGTACGGCCGTGTGTCTGGGAAACCCCCAGAGTTGGGTCTTTCTTCTGAAACGAACAGAGACCAACGTTTGTCTCACCTGGTTTTGCTTCGGTCAGTGAATCTCGTCTCTTCCGTTGAAGGCTCCCTGCCTCTCCCAGTTTCCCTCTCTTGGGTTCGAGATGGAATCCTGGTGGTGGGCATGGAGTGTGAGATGCATGTCTACTCCCAGTGGCAGCCCCCAGTTCCTTCCAAACCAAATGTTACTGTTGTCCAGGACATGGACATGAGCAGCAGCGTGTCCTCTATAGTCTCCGCTGTCAGAGTGTACCAGAACGGTCACAACCCTGGACCTCCTCTGTCTTCACTCACTCTTCCTAAAAGGTCCCTAACAAGATCCATGATGAGCCTGGCGCAGAAACTCAGCGGGAAGAAAACGGCGTACGACCTTCCTGTTGAAATGGAAGATTCGGGGCTTTTTGAAGCAGCTCACAACCTTTTTCCCACTCTGCCCCAGTATCACCCCGTCCAACTGCTGGAGCTAATGGATCTAGGAAAGGTAAAGAAGAAAAATGACTTGCTTATCTTCTAGTGGAGGAATGTTGATTTGAGAATAGTGTTTTTTCTGTTGCTGTAATGTAGTTTATTAATATGGAATAAATGTCATTACCATCTAGGGTTGTCACGATACTAAAATTTCAAACTCGATTCGATACTGGGAAGAAACTCGATACTCCATTTTCATACTATTGAAAGGGGCATTATGGAAGTGTGACAGCTAAAACATGTATACAGGTGCTGGCCAGTAAATTAGAATATCATCAAAAGGTTGAAAATATTTCAGTAATTCCATTCAAAACGTGAAACTTGTACATTATAATCATGCAATGCACACAGACCAATGTATTTCCAATGTTCATTACATTTAAATTTGATATTCATAAGTGACAAACAATGAAAACTCCAAATTTGGTATCTCAAAAAATTAGAATATTCTGAAAAGGCTGAATATAGAAGACACCTGCTGCCACTCTAATCAGCTGATTTACTCAAAACACCTGCAAAGGCCTTTAAAAGGTCCCTCAGTCTTGTTTTGAAGGCACCACAATCATGGGGAAGACTTCTGACTTAACAGCTGTCCAAAAGACAATCATTGACACCTTGCACAAGGAGGGCAAGACACAAAAGGTGATTGCTAAAGAAGCTGGCTGTTCGCAGAGCTCTGTGTCCAAGCACATTAACAGACAGGCGAAGGGACGGAAAAAATGTGGTAGAAAAAAGTGTACAAGCTCTAGGGATAACCGCACCCTGCAGAGAATTGTGACGACAAACCCATTCAAAAATGTGGGGGAGATCCACAAAGAGTGGACTGCAGCTGGAGTCAGCGCTTCAAGAACCACCACGAGGAGACTCATGAAAGACATGGGATTCAGGTGTCGCATTCCGTGTGTCAAGCCACTCTTGAACAAGAAACAGCGCAAGAAGCGTCTCGCCTGGGCCAAGGACAAAAAGGACTGGACTGATGCTGAGTGGTCCAAAGTTATGTTTTCTGATGAAAGCAAGTTCTGCATTTCCTTTGGAAATCAAGGACCCAGAGTCTGGAGGAAGAGCGGAGAAGCACAGAATCCACGTTGCATGAGGTCCAGTGTAAAGTTTCCACCGTCAGTGATGGTGTGGGGTGCCATGTCTTCTGCCGGTGTTGGCCCACTCTGTTTCCTGAGGTCCAGGGTCAATGCAGCCGTCTACCAGGAAGTTTTAGAGCACTTCATGCTTCCTGCTGCTGACCAACTTTATGGGGATGCAGACTTCACCTTTCAACAGGACTTGGCACCTGCACACAGTGCCAAAACCACCAGCACCTGGTTCAAGGACCATGGTATCCCTGTCCTTGATTGGCCAGCAAACTCGCCTGACCTTAACCCCATAGAAAATCTATGGGGTATTGTGAAGCGGAGGATGCAATACGCTAGACCCAACAATGCAGAGGAGCTGAAGACGACTATCAGAGCAACCTGGGCTCTCATAACACCTGAGCAGTGCCACAGACTGATCGAGTCCATGCCACGCCGCATTACTGCAGTTATTGAGGCAAAAGGAGCCCCGACTAAGTATTGAGTGCTATACATGCACATTCTTTTCATGTTCATTCTTTTCAGTTGGCCAACATTAGAGAAACAAACATTTTTTCATTGGCCTTTAGAATATTCTAATTTTCTGAGATACCAGATTTGATGTTTTCATTAGTTGTCACCTATAAATATCAAATTTAAATGTAATGAACATTGGAAATACATTGGTCTGTGTGCATTGCATGAATATAATGTACAAGTTTCACGTTTTGAATGGAATTACTGAAATATTTTCAACCTTTTGATGATATTCTAATTTACTGGCCAGCACCTGTAGAAATAATAAATGTCTTCTTCATACATTCTCCTGCAATGCCCTGGTCCTGTAGAATGAGCCCTGGCATTTTTACTGTGATTGCCTGTTTTTCTGTAAAATCACAGAAAAAGAGAGATGCTCGGGTCGAGCAGGCTGCTTCATGCGCGTTCACGCTCAGGCATAGCCCTCCGAACCGTTCTTTGAACGTTGTTTCAGCTGTCATCAAGGATATAAATGTTACAGATACAAAGGACATCACTGGTGCTGTAGCTCACCTTGTGAGATGTCGGACTCTCGTGCAGAGGACCTGGGTTTGATTTTGGGTGTGAACATAGTTTATTTGGAGTTTCTTTTTTACATTAATGGTATATTTTTTTACAGTAAGATGCCCAAATTTTTATTTGAGACTCGCCGAACGGCATTGAATTCACAGATAAAAAAGATGTGGGTTCAACTTTCATTTTGGAACAATTTTTCAAGCAAGGGAAGGGAATGATCTGAGCATGCAGGAGGACTGACCCATCATAAACCTTTGTCTGCTGTGCTGAAGAGAAAGGTACAGAACCAAATTATTTAATTAATTAGCTGTGTGTTCTCCTGTCCTCTGTCCTCCAGGCCACACACACACACACACACAAGGGACTGTCTCAGCTGCTATTTTCGTTAAGGAGTGTGCACGTACAGCATGCGCGCCTCGTGCACGAGCCTACTATTGAAGCTGCCGTTACGCTTTTGGACTGAGGGGGCAATCGCGAGCATAAAATTTCAAAAGTCCGTAAAGTCCCTTTAAAAACACCAATTTATTGAACAAGTTTATTCAAAAATTAACATTCCTCAGTTTATATTGCAAAAATTAAATGTTAAGAATTAAGTGTATAAAGTGCTTAAACCTTTCAAGTATCAGCATTTTTTAAAACGTGCATACAAAAACTGGTGAAAGTTATCACTTTAAATCATGAATTGTCTCACTATATATATATATATATATATATATATATATATATATATACACACTATTTGCAGAATGATGTTTTGCTGCTTAAACTCTGTTTAAGTTGCATCTTTGTCATAAGCTGTAATGCCATATGTTTTGTTCTGTACTTTTGAACAACTCTGTTGGTCAATAAAGGGAGAAAATGAATTTCTCCATGGTAGGACAAAGGTACATCTAATCTTAATAAGTTGGTATGCTAGCTTAGCTAATACTAATACGTGAGCTCAAATTTGTTGGTGCAATTAGACACGTTCTTACTAGATTTAATACATTTTAGACACCTGTTTCATTTCATCATGCAGTTTGGGGTGTCGGTCTCTCAGAAGCTTGGCCAAATTTGTTGTGCTGCTTGACTTCGTAGCGATCTCTTCGTAGCACTCCTTGCAAACGCGTCTGTCATGGTCTGTTGCTTTCCCCGACTCATCAGCCTTGTATCCAAAGTGTTTCCACGCTGCACTTTTGCTCTTTGTGTTGTCGATTAAGTTGGGCTGTGAAGTGCCTCCTGAATTCGCTGTTGCCATTGTTAACAAAACTTGGATCGGAGACACCTCGCGCGGGAAATTGCAGTGTAGCCATGCGGCGTCTTCTTCTTCTGTTTGTCCGGGAGGCGGAGGCTGCTTTACGGCATCTGGCTGTCGTGCGTGTCGGTGTACTTGAAGAAGGCTGTGTTTTATGTGAGACTCCATAATATTGATACCACAGGGATGGAATATCTAATTTAGATACCACTTTTAGTATCGATTTATATCTAGGTATCGATTTTTTTGACAACACTATTGCCATCCTTTTGTTTGTTATTAAAGGTGGAATAGGAAAACATTTTCCTGCCCTTACAAGAACACACAATGCTTGATTCCAATGGTTCAGTTTTACCTTTTAGACCCACTGTGGGCTCGTTTTCTGCCCTAGTTCCCCATGTAACAACTCTACGTAATCGTGAAACACTTTAGTCTGCTGGGTGATATTGTTTGTGGTGCTTTGACGCTGGAAAACGATGAATCACAGCAGCTCAGTGCAACCAACAATCTGGGGACAACCCCACAAACAACGGGTCAAAACTTCCAAAATCTGTCCTGAACCTCCTCCCGTTTGCTCTTCGCTCTTATAAAGCTTGGTTTATGCTTGACGTATTTACTTTCCACTTGGTGATGCGGCTCGCGGATGGAACGCGCTTCACAACTTGCAGCGTTTATGGTTCATGCGGCTTGTCTCTGCGGTGAGCCAATATTCTCCCAAACTGTAGGGGGCAGCATGGAGCTCTACGGCATGCATCCAACACTACACCATAGTAGAAGTAAAAATTACTGTTTACAACATGGCATTCCAGCATTTTTAACAGCGTCCTCGTCTTTTCCGACAGTGCGAGCTATTTCTCTCCAAGAATTATTTACAACATGTTGATCACGGTGATCTCTGAGAGCTGAATCATACAAATGTCTGTATTTACCAACCTCTGCCATACTAGTTCTTGCCAGTCCGCCATGTTTTCCCGCGTCCGACCATCCGCGTGGTTAGAAAATTTCCTAGGTGCGCAGTGCGGAAATTTTGGGCCGTGCGGAGGCGCGGTGGAGGGGCGTGGCTGTTAAAATGACGGAATTTTGCCGCGCGGAGCCGTGCGGACCTCGTGGACGCGTCAAGCATAAACCAAGCTTTATACGGCTCCCCACAGACACACATCCAGTTGCCAAGGCAACAAACTGACTGCTCTGCCAGGCTGCGTTCACAGGCAACAGGTCCATCAACTAAATGTTTCCCCACAAAACTCTTAAACAGACGATGAACTCCTTAAATAAAATTTGTAAACCAAACCAAACATTCCATCCATTACACTAGGCAGCTCGGCTCTGGCTTTGCTTGATGTTCATCTGCTCCAAGCTGTAAACGTGTGATTTGTGCACACAGCGAGGGTCATGATCCAGAATGGGTCATTGACTGATTGAATGAGGGTTTTCCATGATTGCACGTTTCCTAGATGATTAAAATTTATTGGTTGCCATCGGTATGTAAAGAGCATTTTGCGCAATATGGCAAAAATGCCCCTGAGATACATCTGCTGCGCCCTTAAAGAAGCAATATAGAGTTATCTAAAGTCATAATCTCTGTGTAACTTATTTTGTTTCCTTAGGTTCACCGTGCCAAGGCAATCCTCTCCCACTTGGTAAAATGCATCGCTGGGGAAATAGTGATACTTAAAGAAAACGCCACCAATCCAGAGAGACGGGTGCGGTCTCGAACTATCAGCGTCGGAGGCAGCACATCAAGAGACGAGAAGATATTCAGCAAAGCGGAGAGCTCCAGCCCCGACTACACAGAGATCAGCTCCGTCCCTCCCCTGCCTTTATACGCTCTTCTGGCAGCCGACGAGGACACGCCTCAAATCGGTGAGCTTACCGTGCAGTTAGAGCTGAAAAATAGTCACATTTCAATCAAGCGTTCAGAAAAATTGAGACAACCAGCAAGTTTGATTCCAGTAAAAGAATAAAAGCACATTCATAAATTTAACCTGTAGTTTTAGTGTTTTTTTTTTATGTAACACTTGCCTTAAATTGGTGAAATTGTCTTACATCTGTAAAGAAAAAGCAGCCAGTGTGAGCGGAGACAGTGGCCATGGCTCCAGTCAGACGGATGCCTATGATGAGCTCTTCCACACACCAAACACAGTGGATCTGGATCCTTTGGACAATGAAAAGGAGGAAAATGGAAACAAGGTCAGAGGCGGACTCTGCTGTTTTAATAGCCTGGCCTGCCAGACTCGTCCTCTGTTTAATTCTGCACAGAGACGGAGTCTGGTAACTCTCGGCAAAGAGCACCATGAGAGGCGGGACTAGCCAGCTCAAGAATAACCAATCAGAAAAACGACGGAAATCCCGACTGTACTTCACAACGCTGTAGTTTTCTAGTTGTAGTTAAAAAAAGGGCATCTGGCAACGGCGAAAATATCTTTTATTTTTTTTAGAAGAAATGCTTTTAGCGCTTCTGCTTGTGGTTTTAAAGACATCTGAGTCATTTAGAACAGAGGAAAGAGCCGCAGCGAACTCCGCCGCTGTCTTTGTTGTTTATGAGAAACTGAGCGTCGATGTGTGTGTGTGTGTGACGTCCGCGACGCTGTAGTTTTTTTAGCTGTAGTAAAAATGGAGTCTGGCGACAGAGCAAACATCTTTCTTTAGAAGAAAGGCTTTTAATGCTTCTACCTGTTGTGTCCAAGTCATTTAGAACAGAGGAAAGAGCCGCAGTGAACACCGCTTCAGTCGTCATGTTCGACTAACTCGGTGTTGTGGCGTGTGACTTACGCTACGCAGCACTGATTGGCTCGGTTAGAATTCTCACGGGGTGGGGTTATTTGAATAGGAGATAGGGATGGGTACCTTTGACATTTGAATAGATTCTGTACTAATTGCCAGTACCTAGCAATCGATACCGGTACTTAACGGTACCAATTTTAGATACTTTTAAGTGTTTATTATTTTTAATTCTCTTTTATAATTAAATATATATTTTTCTCAATATATAACCATATTTGATAAATATCACGATAAATAACATACAACTGTTTGTATTTTAACATCGTCCTTGTAGTTTTATAAGCTGATAATTAAACTGAAGCAAACATCTTTACTGTGAACTAAATTTACTGTGTATCTTCATTCCTTTTGCCGTCCTTTTTCCTTTGATTTTTCCTACTGGGAAGTTAGAATTTCTGAGGAGAAAGTGAACACACCGTTAGCTGATAACAGCGGTGGCAATGGAAGCTAATTTATCAAGCTAACGTTATCTTAAACAGTTTATTTAGCTGCTGGAGCAGATTAAAACGATGATGCCTCACACTTAGATCGTTGTCGCTGGTTTCATCTTCACCCAATCACCCGTCGCATTTAGTAAAGTGAAGCCAAACTTTAGAGCGCGTTCATGTTCTTCTAGTCGGAAAATCGGAGTTCTGAGGAGAAGGCGAACGCACCATTAGCGGAACGGAAGCTAACATGTCAAGCTAACGTTATCTTAAACATTTTATTTACCTACCGGAGCAGATTAAGATGAGGATGTCTCACTTAGATCGTTGTCGCTGGTTTCATCATCACCCAGTTACCCATCACATTTAGTGAAGTGGACCCAAGCTTTAGCGTGCGTTCTTTCTACCATGCTGCTCTGTTTACAACTGGCTCGCAGCGACCGACAACATAACGCTCTTGCACATGTGCAGCTGTCTAGGCAAGTTGTCGTTATGAAGGACGGGTACCGAAACGAGGCACCGTTTCAAATGACGTGAATTGGTGCTCAGTCGGTACTATGGAATTCGGTCGGTACCTTTAAAAAGTACCGAATTCGGTACCCATCGCTAATAGGAGAGTTCCCAGACTCTTTCTCTGTGCAGAATTAAACAGGCCAGGCTGCTGTTTTAATGGACTTTTATTTCAAATCTGAATCCTCTAGAGAAATTGTCTCAAAACTGCGAGAATGTGGATTTGAAATGCAGTTGGAGCTTATAAATAATTCCTGCCTCTCTCTGTTGATGCAACCATTTCAATTCTGCAGGTCATAGACTTGTCCCAGTACAGTCCCACATACTTTGGTCCAGAACATGCCCAGGTCTTATCAAGCCACCTCCTCCACTCCAGTTTGCCCGGATTGACTCGAATGGAGCAGATGTCTCTCATGGCGCTGGCCGACACCATCGCTACCACGAGCACAGATCTCAAGAACAACCAGGACAAGAGTAAAGGTATTTTAGCGTAACCTTCATATAGACTTTATAAAAGAATAAAAAAATTAAGGGTGAAATTTTATGCATTCATTACAATTCATTAATTTGAAAAAAAAAAACAACTAACGCATAAGAAAAATTAACAGTCGAGCCTGTGTGCCTCCTAATTGGATGATGAAAAATTTAGCATCCAAATGTATGCCCTGTGTTTTCAAAGAGGTGATTTTCCAAGAGCACTACCCGGCCTGAAACTGCTCTGTACGGTGTAGTTCGAGTCCGCCCATCAGAGTGTAGTTTTGTTTCCAGGCCAGCTCCGTGACAGAGAGGGGGTTACGCCCCTCATAGGTGCAGGGGGGCAAGGGGACCTTCCACTCTGAAGCAGAGGAGGATCTGCAGCACTCACGACGGGGGAGAGCTGCACGCGTGATTTTTAGTCGAAACAAAATCGCATGGCATGATCAGTAAATGGTGTAAGGTGGCCTGTTTGCTCCACAGAAACACAAATGGTGGTGTTGCTCAGTTTTATGGCTTATTGTCAGACTCTGAACCAGGAAATGACTGCAGGCAGCGAAGCAAAGGCAGCAAATTCTGGCGCAATAAGTGACTCCGCCCCCTAGCCAATCAGCGGCCAGAATCACGATGCCGGCCCGACTCAGCCCGGCCAGGTACCTCAATGGAGCAGGGACTTAAACTGGGGAGAAAGTAGAGGGAAAATACAGAACCCGTGCCCTTGGCAACTGTGGTCGGGCCGAGCTGCACCGTTCCACGTTACTCTGCTCCTGGAAAACTAGCTTAAATATCAAGCTGCAGCTCTAACAAAGCAGCCGAGCCTGCGCTACAAGACCATATCAACTTTTTTTATGTGCTCCAAACAACTAAAACTACAATCAAATGAATCATGAGAAATCACTTTTCATGAAGAAAAGAAAAAATAAATCAACCTTTTACTGTTAGATTTTGTAGTTGGTAGAAAGCAGGCAGTGACTTTATCCATTTAGACTTTATTAAAAGCAAACATGCATGACTCATCTTGTAACCCCCAGCAGAACTCTACACTACATCTATCTATCTGTCTGTCTATCTGTCTGTCTATCTGTCTGTCTATCTATCTATCTGTCTGTCTGTCTATCTATCTATCTATCTATCTATCTATCTATCTATCTATCTATCTATCTATCTATCTATCCATCTATCTATCTATCTATCTATCTATCTATCTATCTATCTATCTATCTGTCTATCTGTCTGTCTGTCTGTCTGTCTGTCTGTCTGTCTGTCTGTCTGTCTGTCTGTCTGTCTGTCTGTCTGTCTGTCTGTCTGTCTGTCTGTCTGTCTGTCTGTCTGTCTCTATCTCTATCTCGGGGCAGCAGTAGCTCAACAGGTTGAGTGGGTTGTCCAGTAATCGGAAGGTTGCAGGTTCGATCCCGGCTCCGGATAGAGAATTCTGCTGTTGTGTCCTTGGGCAAGACACTCGACCCACGTTGCCTGCTGGTGGTGGTCGGAGGGACCGGTGGCGCCTCTGTCAGCGCGCCCCAGAGCAGCTGTGGCTACATCGTAGCTCATCCCCACCAGTGTATGAATGGATGAATGATACACTGTAGTGTAAAGCGCTTTGGAGTCCTTACTCTGAGAGGCGCCATACAAGTGCGGGTCATTTATCATTTATCTATCATCTATCTTAGCAGAGTTCTGCTGCCACCTAGTGTTCATTTCAGAGCACAACATTTACAATGTTCCATGTCCATTTACACTTCATCAGTAACACAAGCACTAATATTTACACATCCCAACAAATCCCACAATGGTTATCTTTATAACGAGACCAAAATAATCAAATAGATACCAATATCAAGTTAAAAAAAATTGCTTGGGAGCAAATTTCTTGAATAATTAAAATGTGATTAATCAAGATTAATTTGTTACAAAGCTTCTAAACAATACAAATCTTAATTAGATTTTTTTTATCGAGCCCCACCTCTAAAAAAAACAAATATAGAAGCTCTCTGTTTACAGAATATATTGTATAATTTTTTTTCAGGTGGAGAGACGCTGGACGAGTGTGGACTGAGGTTCTTGCTAGCTGTCAAACTCCACAACTTCCTCTTAACGTCCCTGCCCCCTGTACACCGAGCTCAGCTGCGACGACAGGGTAAAGTCTGGGTTTTTGTTGTAGTCTTCAGTGACTAATCAAAAGCAGATTAGTTTGCACCTCGTTAGAAAATTTCCCACATCCCAGAACGTCTTTAGACACTCCAGTTACTCACAGAATTGTCAGCGTAATACCTCCAAGAATGTAACTGATTATCTGAATTGTGATTACTTGGCTATAAGTCTCCTTAGGAGCTTAGTGAATAAGCCGGCATCTGTTCATCATTTCTAACTACTCGAGTAAAGTTACCTTTGGGAAATTTTAGCTTTTAGAGTATTGTCTTTAATTTACAGCCAGTAGCCTGATTAACCCTAAGATTTATCTTCTGAATGTTCATCGTTCTTCTCTGTAGGTCTCTCCACATGCCACTATGCCTGGGCCTTCCACTCTGAAGCAGAGGAGGAGCTGCTGAACATGCTGCCTGCTTTGCAGAAAGGGGAGCCCACCTGGACTGAGCTGCGCTCCATGGGGCTGGGCTGGTGGCTGCGCAGCACCAACAAACTGCGCAGGTGCATAGAGAAGGTAAAGCCACCAATTATATTATTACAGTGTTTCCCCTAGGGAATTCTCCAGCTGGGGTGGTGGTGGTGGGGGGGGATTATGACACATCTCACCTTTATGTTAATATTGTTTTATTTGATGCACTCCACTTTGAAATGCACCAATCCAGCAACTGCTGCATTTAATAACTAGTGTTAAAGGTGACTACAGCAATATAATTTTTGTTTTAAACTCTCAGTGACACACTTTGCAGGGGGGGGGGGGTGGCATTTAATTTTTATTGGCGTCTGGAAAACGTCTCCTTTTGCTCCCCTTTATTTGACTTTATGCCCCTTTATTTTGGTCCTAGATCATTACTGGGCTGGCCCTGTTAAACACGTTCTACACCCCTGCTTAGTAGGCTTAATGAAGTATTTTTAAGCCAGTATAAAAATGACAGAAACACAAATTTACATATTTGGCATTATTGACCAATATCTTTGATTTAATTTATTTGTTAAGAACATCAAGATGCATTACAGTGAACATTATAATAAAGTACATGTTTCCAGTGCAGAGAGGAGACAACCCATAGAAGCACTGATTTGATCTCATTTCAGAGAAAAATAGAACGGGTCAGATGCACCTAATAAATAAAATTACTAACATAAACTCAGGAATCTGTTTCTTTGCTTCGTTGTTCTGGTGCTGAAAATATCACTGATGCGGATCAAAGGAGATACACAGATGAATGCACCTCTTATTTATTATTTGGAAATTAGTGGGTGTGGTTTACATCAATACATTATTTTAAATCTGAAATTGATACGGATTGATCAGAAGTTGTACGTGTTGTTTACAGAACAGCCTCAGAATTGAGATTAAATATTTTTGATCACAATAGTAAAGGAACTATTACAGAACAAGTGTTTCAGTAAAATCAGAACATTAATATTTAAGTGCATAAATTAATGCATCTGAACTCATGCAGTAGGAACTAGGAAATATGAAATACTAGAACCGTTTTATTTTAATTTGATTAAACTGATTTTTTCCTAACGTTGCTGGCATTTTCCCCACACACAGTTAAACAAAACAATGTTGATTGAGGTGTGTGTGTGTGTGTGTGTGTGTGTGTGTGTGTGTGTGTGTGTGTGTGTGTGTGTGTGTGTGTGTGTGTGTGTGTGTGTGTGTGTGTGTGTGAGAGAGAGAGTTAAAACAATTTAAAAACCCGACCGGAGCGGAGTCAGTGACCGACGCATGCACGATCCGTTTTCAGCTCCGTCTTGTCAAATGCACCGCGTACGTTATGACAAAAGTAACTTTAAATATTCAACCGAAAAAGAGGCGAGCTGAAGAAAACCTAGTGAGTTCTGAAGAAACGTGAGCAACAGTGAAGCAAGCAGAGAGAGATCCGTTACTGTGTGTGTGCGTGCGTGGATGCATGGGCCGGACTGAGCTCCCGGCTGCAGAGTTTTGTGTGTAGGGAGGGGCGGGCGCTCTATGTGACTGGCCAATCACAGAGCGTGAAGACATTCAGTTACCCGATGATTTTCCTTCAGCACGATTACAGATATTTACGAGTTTTACTCGTTTCATGCTCGTTTTCGTCAAAAATACTTTATCCGTACCGGATACTCGTCCCTACCTGTAACCACCCTGCCCTGCCTCCTCCTCCTTGCTGCCTGCCGGCTCTGATCACAAGCAACAACAGAGTAGTTCCCGCTGCTTCTTCGGGAAACAGCGCAAAAAAAAAAAAATCAATAAAACTTGGGATCTTGTAGGCGTGGCGCTAGGATTTCAGCCGTGGCGGGCCGCCACGCCTATGTAAGGGGAACACTGTATTAGATCCTCATCCTGCACCTGTTCTGAACCTATTTGTGAAAATGTGATCCAGAAAATACATGTGCAAATTGTAATGTAGATTAAAATAGACATAAAGTTTCTATTCATGAAGTATCAGCGTCCACGTGTCAGTAGATGAAACTTGGACCGCTTTCTCAGTTTCTAGATCATTGTCAGGTTTCAAAAGAGCATTTCTGCTGAAGTTACTTTAAAATGCACCACCACGACAAGCGTTCTGGTTGTGAGATGACCCATAGCGCTACGGCTTGTTCCTTAGATGGCTCTGTCTAGGCTGAAGCGGTGGTGGCTTTAGCTGAATCAGTTGTTTCTTTTTTTTTTTGTCAGGTTGCCAAGGCCTCGTTTCAGAGGAGCAATGATCCTCTAGATGCTGCCATATTTTACCTTGCTCTGAAAAAGAAAGCAGTGGTCTGGGGATTGTACAGGTAGGCAGAACTGAACCCTTATGCAGGCTTCGCTGTCAAAACCGCTGCAGACCAGTGACGCTGATACTGTTTGAATGCCACTCTCTCCAGGTCTCAGAAGAACGTTAAGATGACAGAGTTCTTCCACAACAACTTCAGCGAGGACAGGTGGAGGAAAGCTGCACTGAAGAACGCCTTCTCTCTGTTGGGGAAGCAGCGATTCCAGCACTCCGCGGCCTTTTTTCTTCTCGCCGGTTCCCTGAAGGATGCTGTGGAGGCAAGTGGAAAATAGACATGACAAAATGCTTCTAAAAGGGTTTTGTTCTTTCAGCTGTGCTGCCACTTCATAAAATCTACGTCAGGAACCCGGTTTTCAGTAATAGTCAAGCACTTTGTCTGACAGTCCACCTAAGCTTTTCCCCCCTGCCATCATTTCAATCAAATCAAAGACACTATTAATCCCAGAGGGAAATTAGAGTTTCAGTACACACAATTCAGAGATCAGACATACATGGGCAAGACACATGACAAGAATTGGTGACTGTGGTCATTCGCAACCCTGAGTCGCGCTACCTTAATAGAGATAATAGGGTTACATGAGGATTGGTTCAGGTGGAGGGAAAAAAGGCCCTTCAGAGTTACCCTCCACCAGGAGGGCAGCTTTGCTCTGCAAAAAAAAAAACCCCACATCTGACAGATATGCAACAGACTTCAGACATCACAACATAAGTGTCCGCTAGGTGGGGTGGTGGGTTGGGATTATCCCCACTTCAGTTTCTGCAGCCACGATAAGCAGCGCACGTCACCTCAGTGTGGTTAGGGGGAGGAGCATTGAGGGTTGGAGGGCTGCAGTGACCCTGGAACGATTCACGGCCTTCCCGCAGTCTCGTCCAGGCTGGGAAAGGAGGCAGAGTTGAGTTGCCATAGCGACAGCACATTCCACATATCTTCTGAGGGGGGAGTTTTCGTTGTAGCCTTGCAGGCTCAAGGGCGCCAGATTCTGATAAGAAATTGTTTTGGGGCCAGACAGAGATAATTTCCCCTCTGTCTTACAGTTTGTTGGTCCTCAACCTCTCAGAATCCCAATAACGGACATTAAACTATCCCAATCCTTGCTGATTCGTCACATTTAATTGACATGTTTGATGCTGTGGCAAGTATATTTTTGTCTTAATATAAAATATTTCTATATTTTCCCATGGTGGTGCAATTGTCATGAGGTTTTTGACTCAAGTGTTGCTGCTTTTCTTCTTTGTGTTCTTCTTCTATGTGTTGGTTTATATTATAAAGTTATTTTGTTGCTGCATGCTAGCAGCTAATGTGGCTACAGTAGCTTTTATCTATCAGGACCAGTGTTGGGAAAGTTACCTTTAAAAAGTAATTAGTTATAGTTACTAATTACTTTGTCAAAAAAGTAACTCAGTTACTGAGTTACAAGATTATAAAAGTAACTAATTACCAAGAAAAATAACTACTTAGTTACTTTTTTCATTAAAGAATGCTAGAAAAATGGGTTAATTAAACTTACTTAATTTACTATAAATTACTACAGTAGTGAAATATAAATGACTAATGACTGGAACTTAATAAAATGTATGTCCAAATGTTTTTTATAAACCTGAATAATTTCAATAAATAAGCACTTCACTGGAGGAACTACTAACAGGAACATTACACTTATCTGGACTATTAAAAGGTCACTGTGTGATATTTAACAAGACCCCAATCAGCTAAAATGTATAATTTGCAAATAGAAACACCTGTAAAGGTTCCCGAGCCTTTAAATGGTCTCTCAGTCTAGTAAAATTACAGAAATAAATGTAAATTTGCACAGTATTTTAATTTTTCCAGCTTCACATACCGTAATTGTGTGTTTTTAGCAGCATTTCTGTTGCTGGTAATCTAGTAATGGTTAAATAAATAAATAAATAAAATCCTTTAAAATGACACTAGAAGAGGCACAAGCCTGATGGAGGACTTGCATTTACTAACTTGGGTCAGACCCAACCACAGAAGAGCTGAAGCTGGGTGGTGAACACACACAGGTAGTTCTAATAACACCTGAGCTCCATGCCGTCTGAGACAGATGCATCAGTGTTACAGCGGGACTAAAGACATGATCAGAAACAGGTTACAGCTGGATGATCTAGGAAGGTAGAAGATCAGGACGTCTGAGAGGTGAACAGGTGAGCGGACCTTTGGGACGTCCCGCTGTCACGCCAAGAAGGACACGGCTGCAGACCCGCAGATTTGCTGCTGCAGCAACGAATCTGCGGGGGGTCTGCAGCCGTAGACTATTCATCACGTCTTCCTCGTTCTTCACGGGCCGTGATGCGCTTGGATGAAAACGTCTACCTCTTTAGCTCCTGATCAGCTGATGACAGCTTCAACACAGCGCTGCTTAACGCACGCATTTCCTTATCAGTAACAGAAACGACGTTTTGATAAGACGGTAATTAATTAGTTTGCTCGTTACTGAAAGAATTTTTTTTATTAACGCGGTTATTATAAACGGCGTTATTCCCGTCGCTGCTCTGTTGTGTCTACAGCAGGCAGCGACTGAGACCGTGAGGGTCTCCGCCCACCCGGCCAATCATCATCGTGTTTGTAAGTGCGTTACCGACACCTCTCTCTCCCTGGCTGCAGCTGAAGTGTGGCGGTCAGAAAGCCTCACACTGTTGCTCAACGTTCGACAAGCACATAGTAACGCACAACCAGTAACGTAACGGCGTTGCAACAGTGGGAAAAGTAATTAATTAGATTATTCCGTTACCCAAAAACAGAACGCTGTTAATTTAAACGCCGTTATTCCCATCACTGATCAGGACAGCTATTGGCGCTTACACATTAGTGTCTGCACGGTCGGGGTTTGGTGGGGCTGGGTGGCGTGAATTCGGTCTCGAACGGACGGTGTAGTGTTCACCAGGGGTGGCGTTAGGCCTGGCTACCTGGGCTCAAGCCCTGGATGTTTAATGAAAAGCCCCGGATCTAAATCGTGGAAGTAACATGCAGTACCAAAGTCCAACAGAGAGGGCGCAGCTGGCAGTAGTTTGTATACAGCCTGCCTGAGCCTCCACCACTGAAGAAGAAGCCCTTCAGCAGCCGGCTTCTTCTACACTCTCTGCCTGAAACGCATGAGTGAAGATGGACATAAGGACGTTTTTTAGACTAAAAGTACCGCGACAGAACCCCAGCTTTGATGGTACTGGTGTTGACTCAGGTTTGTGAGTCTTATTTGAAAATATTTGTTGTGCTGCTGGTTTGCCTAAAGTTAGCTTATCAGGTAGTGGTTGGAGAAAGAACGCAGGAATATTTACTATCATCTCACACTAAACACTAACAGGAACAATACTCTGCCCTGAATATGCTTAACATGTAGCTTCAGATTAAAAATTATGTGGTTCAAGACAAATATATATGATGTTGACTAGTGCGTGTCACGTGTGTGTGTGCGCGCGCGCTCGTGCGTGTGTGTTAAGCCCCGCATCTTCTTCAGTCCTAAATCTGCCCCCTGGTGTTCACATATAAATCCGAGGGACTTCTTAGGAATGTGGAAATCCCCGAACCTGTGGGTGGCGTTTAATACGGTGTCCTTCATAATAAGGTAAACAAAGGTGGGCGTGAGCTGTGTTGCTTTTGGAGTCTCTGAACCACATTATTGTATTAATTTGCTGTGTGTGTCCTCGTAATCTTGTTCCATGCACACACAAACTGCTTTCTTCCCTGAGTAGCTGTCTGCTCACCGGGGTGAGATCTCCAATGCAGAGGACACACACACACACACACACACACACACAGACAGCTCACTCTCATCTCCCGTTCCTACTGAGAGGCAGCTCCGTGCTGCAGACAGAAGTTTACTCAACAGCATGGGTGGACTGGGACCAAAATTTGGCCCTGGCATTTTTATGAACCGTCGGCCCTCGGCAGGGGAGGTTTCTGCTCGCGACTCGTCCATCCCGCCAAAAGTGGGGGGAGGGACGGGGTGTTGTGTGTGCTGCTCGTGGACTTGTCTCTATAACCGCATGTGAGACGGGGGCTTGGTTTGGGACGGCCCAAGCTGGGCAAGTGGCCCACTTGGCTAAGCGGCCCACCGGGACAGTGCCAGAATGCCAGATAGGCCAGTCCATCCCTGCTCAACAGCATCCGGCATGAAAACGAATCGCGCATTCAGGAACCACCCCACTGGCTCGTTCTACTCACAGATCAGAGGTGGCAGGCGTCATTTCAGCTGGCCAGTCGGTCCATAGTGTCACCTCGGTCCCAGTCTGACCGCTGGGGAGGAGGTCTGAGAAAAAGAGTCGCCTCGGAACCGAAAAGGCTAATCTGACCTGTGTGTGAAACCAAATTCTGGGACCGAACCAACGATGTTTAAGCGCCTTATCAGTATCAGGAGATTGGCACCGACTGTCCTTATTGTTTAAGATTTAACTTATCAAGGTTATTTTGTGCTTGAACACTCTTTTAAGCAGTGGGTCACATTTTTCCATCTGCATGAGTAATCGCAACCTCTCTCAGCATTTTATGGAAAATGGCATCACCCAGCAAAAGAGCCATCACTGACTCTGCTTCTCTGTGGCTGTGAGGTAGTCTCATTGAAATGCACCTCACACCTTATCAGCTGTGAGCATCCACAACCATCCATACACATTTTGCCTTGAGCGCAATATTTTTTTGTATTTTTTGTGGCCATTTTCCTTTTCCTAGTTCTGCAGATAAAACAGCAAACATTTTATCTTGGAGGATTTCCTCGATCTAGACCGCTCTTCATCCTGAATTTACATTACAGTCCTGTGCTAAAAGCAGAAACTTGTGTTCTAACGAAGGCTGGGAAACGCAGATAAAAGCATATCGATTTAAAAAAAATCATATTGATCGACATCAAAAATTGAAATGAGAAGTCGGGCTTATCGGAGAAGTCACTCAGGCCAAAACCTCCATTGTGAGAAAGAGGTTGGTTAATAAACTATTTTAAACATTAAGAAAGTGCTAGCAATTAATTCTCAGGAGACTGTTTTGGGTGTTTTTAAGGCAAACCCTTTTGTTAAATTTTTTTTGGATTTTTTTAAGATGTAAAAGCAGTAAAAATAAAGGCAAGATTTTTAAGGCGTTAAGTTAAGGCTGTTTTTTTTAAGAAGAAGAAAAGAAGAAAATATCATTTCTATAGCGCCTGAAATGGTACATCATGGAAGTGTGACAGCCAAAACATGTATAGAAATAATAAATGTCTTCTTCATGCATTCTCCTGCAATGCCCTGGTCCTGTAGAATGAGCCCT